ATGTCAAACATGTAATACTCGTTCACTTGTAGAAAACAAAGCTGCACATGCTAAAATACTTAGCATGTGCTTCATATTCAATATAAATAGTGTCACATCAATTTGTACACAAGCGTGGCTATGCTCCATGCCAAGGTAACCATGTTCCACCTATTGTTTCACAACACATAACACCACTTATTTAAATTTCAATGATTTTGACATTTTCGAAACAACTGAAATCCACCCTGATTCATTAGTTAACCAAATTTGGAAAAGAACATGGTCACCTGTACATACAATATTACATGGAATTCAAGATGGCTGCCTGATGATGTAGTTTTTGACCACTTTCAGATATGTTTGATAATATTTTTCGTCATTTCATAGTCCAGATTACCTTACCAGTTTTTAACACAGGAAATGTCTACAACACAACAGGACTACATCTGAAAGTGCCCACTACAAGAACGGCGCCTTTGGACTAGAAAATGGTACTGCTCATTGCAGCCTTCTAAACATTGTCTACAGTCAATACTTGCTGTCGGAAGACAGAATTCCTGTTGCATGTTGCTATGTACACTACATCTTTCCTAAAGATCTAAAAACTCTTCAAATATTACAACAAAATCATCAGTTTGCTGTACAGTTGGTTATTTACATAATTCAATTTTAATTTCTTATCTGCCCTAAAGTTTGTAGCACCCTATGAAATATGATGTTAGTTTTGAGATATATTTTTCCTTCATGAGCAGTATGTCAGTTCCTGGATTGACAATCTTCCTGTGGGGAGTTAACAGACTACAAAAGTCCTGTTCCAATCCTTGGTGAACTAGGCTTGAATTTCATGGTTCGATCATAGTTACACCAGTGGCTATTAAAGTTATGCCCCTTCCATGTCCTCTCCAACTGGCCAATCAGATTCCACCAATCATATTACTCACATTTTCTTCAAAGAAAAAGGTGGTTGGTCAACCCAAACTCAGTGATAATCAAGATCAATACTGATTTTGTAATAAAACGGGTCTTAACTTTATAAGTGCATCAACTTCCTTGAACACCTTGATTAAAACATTAAATGTTTTGTACAATATTTGTTGACGACAAGTGGATGGTACATATACTTTGCAAGTTGACATGAAGTCTGCAGGTCAGTCTACATACTGGATATCGATTCAGACACTTAATTGTGATTGGACTCTGCAGACTCGTTAGTCAACCAATACATAACTCCTAAATTGGAAACTGTACTTTCATAGTCAGAGACTCCCTTGCTTGAGAAAGATGGGACATTTGCCTGAAGCTATGTATACAAAACAGCCATCAAACATGACAGAAATCTTAAAAAAGTCATATTTCTCTTGTTTTGTATATAAACACCAAAACTGAAAAATTAAAAACTTATTCTTGAGTATTCAGGAAGTTGTGAATGATTATATGATTCAAACTTTACAAATGGCATTAGGTTTGTCAAATGACTCAAGGAATAATTAAGAAAACCTCATGAATTTGTTATGAGCAAATGAAGAGAGACAGAGAGATATCCTTATCACATCTACTAACTGACCAGAAAACTACCCCAACTTTACAGAAGGAGACATCTCAACATGTACGAATACTCGTATTATAAAGAATATGAGATTCAAGTTTAACTATTTGCAAACCAAGAGAGTATACACATTACAAAAACAACACAATCACAGTTGTAAGCTAGCAGCACATAACCTCGACCCATAAGGTCTGTAACGGCAATATATATTTTGCGTGCTGAAAATGTTTCAGGAATTTATCGAGGACGAGCGTAATTTTGTCCCCAAATTTTTCATATTTTCCTAAATTCAGAGGTATTGATAATGCATTAATGCATTTGAGGAGAATTAAGTTTTAGAAAATCTTCCCTTCAGAATTCACATTTGCAAAACGCTTTCAAAACAGATAGCTGGAATTGTTTCATTCCAGTTAGGGACATTTTAGTGTTGATAAATTTCTGGGTTTGAAAGCTTAACTGATTCACTGATTAAAAGGCAACACTCACATTCACAATAGCATTGCTGTATCACAAAATGTAACACACATGTACAGTCAAACATTCAGTAAAAACTTTGTCAATCTGAAGAAGCGAATCATCTAAAAATGAATTAAGAATAAAAAACTATGAAAAAATGCATAAATTATGAATGAAAAACCCACACAGAATGTGCATCTAAACATTTCCAATTAAGTATTATCTAAATGTTTCATGATTCAACCAATATTTAAAAACTAATACAGTCGTCTAAACCAACTACTATTAATTGTTAGTTATCATTGATCTAACTAATCACTCCCCCAATCCCATCTTTGGTGATTAGATAACGATTGGTCAGATATACTACAATAATGATAATTAAATGATGGAACATAAATTCTCATTTACATTTATAAAAAACAGGTTTGGTAAACACCGTTTTGCTGCTACATAGTATGTTTGAGTAAAATAATAAAATCTCTTTGGTAATGTGCTATTTTCAAACCTATATAGTCGTTATATTTCAGAATATTAAAGCATACATAACTCTCCAGTTACTGAACTCTTAATACTAATATCTTTAATCCTACCATAACAAACTGTATTATACATGGAACTTTCTTCACATACTACTTCCTATCAACTATGACTCACCAGAAAACTTAAGTACTGTCGGAAATAGAAAAAAATGGTATTTTCTCAGTTATCTCTACAATTTATGTAGTAGATATGTGCAAGTGTGAAATATCTGTTAAACTAAGTTTGGCCTAACAACAGTCTCAGTGGTAGGGAGATAGGAAACGGAGAAAAAGGACTTTACTGAGGAGAGATGAGTGCAGGAATGAGCAATGCGGTTTTTTCTAAGTCCAAAACGATTTATTTGGAACAAACCATGGCTTTATGCAAATTAGTGTGCGACAATATTGTATTACAAAGGACACTTTTCAAATGCCCAATTTGAAATTAGACGTAGCTTAATTATAAACGATAGCTGACGTAAAAAATAATAACTTTCATGCTAAAACTATTAAGGATGTAGCTACCATGGAGTCTCACTGTCACTATAATAAGAAACAGATAGGAGGGTTCGTCTCAAAAGCAAAACCTGGACGATCGTTGAGGTCGGGGTTGGGGATAGAGATATCAGCTAAGATAAGATAATCCTGGGGAATTATACTGGGGAAGTACACGGCATGTTATAACAATTTACAAATAATATCCAGCCCTGTCGATCTTTGCAATCGGGTGGTCATGTCACCTATATATTTTGAGACATTTGATACGATGCATTTATATGGTTATCAGGTATCATACTCTTTTACATATCTCAACATAAACTATATGAAAGAAAGACACGTAAGATGTTAATCAATAGATGAGACATAGTCAACACACATGAAAAAGCACAAAATATCTTTGAGATGGCCTCTTGTGCCTGTAGGCAGCACATGCATTTCATGTCAGGTGAGTCGACGGTCCGTCGTCATACCTGGCTGAGCGACCTAATTGCCATCTATAGTCTGATCTATTGTTTTCAGCAGCTATTCGTATTTTGTCTACGTTTTGCCCGATTTTACGAGTAAACATGCTTTTCTGGATATCCTATTACGCATCCCACTGAATGCCAAGTTAGGCCGAAGTGGGTTATTTCAACATATGCTATTTGCAGTTGTGTCAATTTTAGTTTTTTTCTAATTCCGACAGTACTTTAACACATACATTATTCGTAATTGGATCAAACATTATATTTTGCCAAATATTGTATCCAGAACATATAATTAAGCAAAAGTGCATCCCTCTATATGCTTTACTGCAACATTATGTACAATATATACAAGTTCTATATATACTCATTTACATATATCTACATGTCAATCAAAGACTGTCCACTATGGGGTTTAATTCAAATGTTCTTATTTCTATATCAAGTTCATTGGCTTAACTATTCAAAGAATATTGTGAACTTGTGATAAAATACTGACTGATATTAGGTTCTGTAGCTCACTTTAATAGAAGAATACAGTATTTTGTATTGATGCAAACTGCAGCTATTACCAAATATACCAAGTGAGTGACATTATACTCTAATAAAGGAATACTTCCTGGTGTAGTGATTTCTAAAATTTTCCATCATGGTTGCCATAGCAACCACAGGAATATATCCATTTCGGGTACATTTCATATGAAAGTTAAAGGTCATAAACATAAATGAGAAGAAACATTGTCTTTGTCCTTGCACATGCCAGTTTGGATTGCTGTAAATCAAATTTCACATTGTGACACACAGAAATTTCACAATGGCTGCTATTTTGTAATCGAAATAAATTCATCTTTTTAGGTTTTTCCAGGTATAAAGTATTTAGATAAGAAAGTTAATCAGTCCAGAGTGAACTTTAAAAAAAGAATAGATCACATTGCTATTAAAAGTAGATAATTAAAGGTAATTTAGTAAAAAGTTTTGATTCTACAGCAGCAAATGAAATAGTCCAGCTTTGAAAATGTACAAAAAACATGTGAACTGACAGAAACTGATACCAATTTGCAATAAAATAATACCAGTACTGGTGGTGATCTTGTTGATGGTTTACACTGGTATTTTTAATATTTGAATGATTTGCTCTTAATTAGTTCGTTGTTGATAAAACTAACAGTAAGTAACAGTTGCAGTGGTGATCTCATCATTTCAGATAGACCTCACTTTCCTTAGCTATAACTGTTTAGCTATTATCCAGATCACATAACAGTACCTTGAAGGAGTATCAAGTATTTTCTATTTAGCTGTGGTATTCTGATCAAAGCTTGACACTTTAGTCAAATTTAGGAAAACTCATTACACAATGCCCAGTTTCATAGTAGACACAAAGAAAAATATTTGTGAAGTTTTCCATTCCTCTTAAAGTTATTTACACAATGCTTTCCCATACAAAATGAAGCTCATGATAAGGATTGTGAGCAATTATCTTAGAGATGGATGTGCAAATATATCTAGAAAAAGGACAACATTTATTTTCGAGAAGTACTCAAAATATGAATCTCAAAATCAAAGCATCTTCTGTAGAGGAAATCAACCAAAGTAAACAAGAAATGTTGATGTGTCAGTCCCCAGAGACATTTCAAATTTCCAGCGTTGCTAGAAACAGTTAGGAACACGACATTTTAATATAAGAGATGTCAGCAGTGACCAATTTGACAACATAGAAGACACCCAATGAAAAACTAATATCTGTTTGTGCTTTCAAATAGAAAAGTTGGCAAGAAACTGTCAGAAACATAAAACAGGTGAAATTACCATGTGTGATGTGAAATGTTGGGTGAACTGACTGAATCATTGTGACCATTAAAAAACAATACTGGAAAAAACGACAGGGGTAAAAGCTCCCATATAAAGAGCAGTTCACATGTTTGTAGAAAACTACAGTATTACAAACAGGTCAAATACTTGTATTAAACCAAACTTTGTGTCACTGGGACATATAAAAATATGGCAAAACATTACTGCATTCACTAATATCAAATCATGCCCAAGTACTCCCATACAAATGTGCCCCTGACAACACCTGACAGAGGAAGAGCACTTCAACACAAAAACAACACAAAAACAACACAACTGGACAATATTATATGGAATGAGTTCAATGAACAGTTTTGGGAACAAAATGAAATGATACACAAACACAATTAGGAATACGAAAAAACGAACATTCATGTTTTGACATGCTTTTATCAATGTTGTATAAATAAGGACAAATGTTATCCATTTGAATCCAGGCATTGAAAAAATATTTTGAGTATCTTTACTTTGTCAGTCACCAGCCCAAACAGTAATTTGACTAATAAGAATTTGTCAGTGTTACCATCACTTGTGATGTTTTTGTATGGTTCGTAAATCATGTATAGGATTACATAGTTATGTCACAACATATGAAATAAAGCTGCAGCAGGGACATGTAACCAGCCCTCTTTGACTGTATTACACCGACAGTGCTCCATATACACTGTCAAAACTTGGTAACAAGTATACAAATATTGTATAGAAAGTATAAGACAAAAGCAACAAAGTTAATAAGTGAAGCACAATGCACTTCCAGCACTACAAAATATAAAGTTGTTTCCCACAGACAAAAATACAAATGTGTGTTAAGCAATGGTTGTGTTGAAAGACAAATACACACCAACACACCAACAGAAATCTACGCAATTATGCATTAAGTCTATTAAGCATGATATGATTAAACTAGTAATGTTTCAGATGTTATCCATTTGATATGATTCCAATACAAGTCAGTCAGGATTATGACATGATCACCTGCCAGAAACTGAAAGTTAATTTCATCTTCATCACTTCTTCAGTTGGTTTAAACAGAACACTATTATCTGATGCATGCATGCCTGTATCCTCTAACAGTGTTTCAGTCTTGTTGGGTAGCTGATTCAATGTTAAGTAAAGACAAGTGTCTAATCCCCTTGTAATTGTCTCCGAAATGTGTCTTTGGCAGTGATATCATGAAATGTTACCAGGTAAAATACATGCCATTCTCACATCTCAAAAAAGCTTTGCACTCTGCTGACTGAAGAGTCATTCTCCGGCTATGTTCCCAGTTGCTATGAACGTTTAATTGGATATGATATGATGATGACCACATGACTGCATTGATGGCATTCTTTGTTATGTAGTCACGAACTGGTGATAAAGCATTAACAAACATGGCACATTCAACAACCCTAACATGAACTCAAGGTCCCTTCACATTACAAATAAAAGGAAATGCTGAAAACATAGCTGCCTATGACCAGAGAGCTGGCAGTACCGAGCCCTCTATATAATATGCAACAAAGCGGCGTTGCCCTGGACAGGCTTTGCCCTGGACAGGCAGGCTGTGGGCTGCTTTAACCCACTTCACCAGGATTCTCCTCCAAACCATGGTCACTTGTCGGTCAGCCATGTTATGGGCTGGAACCTTGGTAATCTTTATGTCGGACCGGTCTGATGGCCAAGAAGAGACTTCAGGATTGACTCCACTGTCAAAACAAGAGCCACTTCTTAAATCAGAGCATTCACACGTTTTGCATAAGATCAATCACAAATGAGATTATGGGTAGATAAAATGCATATTTGAGCTTGAAACACATTGTTATGATAGAAGATGTTTAACTCACTGTTACATTTAAATTGTAAATGTACTGTTTTTCTTCCAGAGGATAAACTGCCAGCTGGCACATAAAGTCTCTGTGAACAAGAGGCCACCTCCGTGGTGTAGTGGTGAGAGACTCTGCACGGAGAACGGAAGGTCGTGGGTTCGATCCCCAGCCATATTGCACCAAAAGACCTTAAAATATGGTACTTGCTGGTCCCTGCCTGGCGCTCGGCATTAATGGGTGCAACAAGGACTGGTCAGTTCGGAGTCAGTATAATGTGTCTGAGTGGGGTATTCACGCTTAACTGTGGCATGGTATCTCTAGCACTATAAAACCAGCTTAAGTCTGGCCTAGTACAAGCAGCCACACATACACATGTGTGCACGTTGTCAAATGAGCGAAATATTCTTCAGTACAACATTAACCCCCTTTCACCTCACCTCCATGAACAAGTGTTAACATCAATGTGTTATATATGTACAATAAACTACATTCATAAAACAAAACAATTTACAGATTTCCATACATAAAGTATCACTATTGTAAGTTATGTTATTAGATTCATGTGAGTTACATGTAAGATGTCTTTGACGACTGGGGCACATAGGACTGTCACTGCATATTTACCAAACTGTTTCTTGCATCTGGACCTAGCAAACCAGTCACAGTTACCAAAGCAATGATAAATGTTGTGCACAAAGTCCAGTTCAATATAACTGACCCCACATCCTCCTTCAAGAACCATCATGAAATACCTGGGCCCTCTCCTACTATACTAGGATTGTGTTGTCTGTCTTATTGAAAGATGGTGGACATTGACTCACTTGGTATATTATTCACTGTAGCCTGTGCTTGAACTTGGCCTGTTGCGTTTGTGGTGTTTCCCGGGAGGATGACAATCATTGGTGATGACTGCATCATGCCCTGTATCTGCTGGTTGGCTACACCTGCCTCTGTAGCAACAGCGGTGGAGTTAGTTTGGCCGTTGTTGCTCACAAGAATGATCTGAGAGTTGGGCTGGTTCACTCCTGTCTGCAAAGCTGGAGGACAGATCAGATTACAAGATTAGAAAATAACAACATACAAATTTGAACATTTCCTTTGAAAGTTAAATTTTTTGTATAAAATATTTATTGCTACAATGCATGATATTTTCTTGAATTCCAATTTAGACAACAGGTTAGCTATTCATGAAACATTCGTAGCCTTACAAACTTCTTAAGCCAATTCTTAACACATTGGCTACGATCAAAGTTAAGAATTCTTAGGGCTATGAACATTTCAAGAAAAAGGGCCTGATTCGTACTTTGAGGTGAATGAATGAGTTTAGTTTCATGCTGCTTTTAGCAATATCACATCAAGGGTCACCAGAAATGTCTTACTTTGGGGAACCTGTTGGTTTGAAGCATTCAATAAATCAAGCAGTGTCTTGCCAAACACATTATTGGCAAGCTGTGGCTGCTGTGGCGTCTGCAGCTGTGGCGTCTGCAGCTGTGGCATCTGCTGTGGCGTCTGCTGTGGCGTCTGCAGCTGTGGCGTCTGCTGTGGCTGCAGTTGGGTCTGCTGTGGCGTCTGCAGTTGGGGCTGCTGCTGTTGGGGCTGCTGCTGCTGTGAGGTCTCCATGGGTGTGGAGACTATCTCCTGCTTGACAAATGGCTGTACAGCCTGGGTGGGGATACCCTGTTGGACAGTTGCCATGGGGGTGATGCCATCAACAGTCCCTGGGGGTAGCTGGAACAGGCTGGTGTTGGGAGATGGGCTGCTCTGAGTCCTTTCCACCAGTCGGTTCAACTCCAGAGCAACTACAGTAAAAAATACAGCTTCAACACACAGGCCCTCGTGTCTTTGCGAGAATTAAAGATGTTAAAAACACATAAAACATTTTAGATGACCCCCAACCTGAAATGCTTCACAGTACAATACATTATGACAAGGCCGGACACTTTGGTGTACCCTACGTGCCTGCTTTGCCGATCGCTACGCTACCATCGCATGCAATCGATTAAAACTTAATGTAAACATAATCATGGACGATTGGCCTATCGATCACCACTCATGACACCTACCAATTCTTCATTGTCATTTCTGTAAGTCGATTGAAACCCGATTTTGACTCCCAACTAAACGATCTTGACAAAAATAGATGACAATGTGTCCACACAAAACGGGTGTGTGGTCAAAGCAAGCCCTCTGACTGGTTTATCCTTGTTTAGGAGATATTACAACTGATGCTTTCTTTTGAGAAGCCATTGCTCGAAAAATATTCTTACATAAAGCAGTCGATGAAAGAAAAAAAAATCAAGCGAATTTATAAAGAATTGCAGATTTTGCAAGCGTTGACCAATCAGAGTGCTTGCTTCAACCACCCCCCCTTTTGTGCGGTCATATCGCCATCCATTTGTGTCAAGATCGTTTAGTTGAGAGTCAAAATCGGGTTTCAATCGACTTGCAGAAATAGCAATAAAGAATTAGAAGGTGTCATGAGTGGCGGTGTGTGGTCCTGTGCGTAGAGCTCAGGTCACAATCAGTTGAGGTTAAGCAACGTTGGTCGCGGACAGTCCTCGGGTGCCAATCATCCTTGATTATGTTTACATTAAGTTTTAATCGATCGCATGCGATGGTAGCGTAGTGATCGGCACAGCAGGCGGGTGGGGTATACCAAAGTGTCCGGCCTTGTCATAATGTATTGTACTGTGTAGCATTTCAAGTCGGGGGTCATCTCAAAAAAATATTTTTTTAAATCTTTAATCTTCGCAAAGACACGAAGGCCTGTGCTTCAACATGGCTAAAAAAATGCTATAAGGAATGGAGAATGTTCTTTGGAAATTTTTCTTTTCAATTTTTTTTTGATGAAACTGGTCAGACTGTTCGTATAATGCAAATAAAGCAATGACATGCATAACAAGCAGGAATGTTTGGGATCTCTCAGGAATACTTTTATTTACTCCTCATTTGCACAAAAAGAATTAATGGGATGCTACTGGAAGGAAAACAGGATCCACCACAGTTTAAAAACAATACCCACATTGTACAAGACCAAACTACAAATTCTATCAATGAATGTCAGGAGTCCTCACCTGGTGAAACACAGGGCAGGGCGTTCTTGCTCTGACTCTGATCTGTTTCCATTGGAACTTCCACTTGTTGGGTCGGCACTTCAAGTGGACAAAGAAACAGATTAGTGCAGGTTCCCAGACTGCCATGGTAATCATCACACAAAAGTCAGGATCAAGGGGCAGGAGCTGATGAAGTGTCCCCTCACACAGCCCACCAGCTGCATCTCATATGAAATCCCCTCCCTAACCTCTACCCACAAACTGCATCCCATATGAAATCCCTTCCCTAACCTCTACCCACAAGCTGTATCCCATATGAAATCCCCTCCCTAACCTCTACCCACAAGCTGCATCCCATATGAAATCCCCTCCCTAACCTCTACCCACAAGCTGCATCCCATATGAAATCCCTTCCCTAACCTCTACCCACAAGCTGCATCCCATATGAAATCCCTTCACTAACCTCTACCCACAAGCTGCATCCCATATGAAATCCCCTCCCTAACCTCTACCCACAAGCTGTATCCCAAATGAAACCCCTCTCTAACGTCTACCACAAGCTGCATCCCATATGAAATCCAATTCTTAACCTCTACCCACAAACTGTATCCTATACAAAATCCCCTCCCTAACCTCTACCCACAAGCTGCATCCTATACAAAATCCCTTCCCTAACCTCTACCCACAAGCTGCATCCTATACAAAATCCCTTCCCTAACCTCTACCCACAAACTGCATCCTATACAAAATCCCCTCCCTAACCTCTACCCACAAGCTGCATCTTATACAAAATCCCTTCCCTAACCTCTATCCACAAGCTGCATCCTATACAAAATCCCCTCCATAACCTCTACCCACAAGCTGCATCAGACATGAGATCCCCTTCCCTGTCAACTTCCCACAAGCTGTATACAATATGAAATCCCCTCCCCAGCCCCTACCTACATATCTTTACAACAATGACTGAAGAAGTATATAGGACAATCTAGCCTGAAAGACCTGTCTCCCAATTGACTTCCATTCCTACACCTCCACCCACCCCACCCCTGTTTCTCCTGCTGGGTAGGTTGTGTGAGTGCTGGCTTCACGCTAGTTACAGAAGAATGCCCATCACTTTTGTAAAACATACAGTGATGATACAAAACTATTTTCAATAAAGTTCTTTGTTGTTTTAATCATTTTATCAAGAATTTGAAAATTCCATTGTGTACCGGTAATTACTATTCAAAATTCTCAAACTGAACAAAGAACTGCTCCCTGATCAATGACTACACAAACAACCAGCTGTAACAATGAATACAAAGTTTGATATTTGCATTTTCATGAAATTAAATTCATTTCATCAAACGCAAATGAACAAAAGAATTTGTTAAAATTAGTTACAGAGTTATTGGAACTCACATAGCAACAAAGCAGTAAAACTGACCAAGGAAACATTGTGTTACTGACCACTGCCTGGTTAAAACTGGCCATGCTGGAGTCATAAAGACAAGGAACTTGTTTCCAATAATTAAAAAATTCTGACATGTGACAAAAGATAACACTCAAATTAAAAGAAGAAGAAAAAATAGCTAAGAGTATTAAATCATTTTCCAACCAAACGAAGTCACACCACTGTAACATCAAATGTAAATGTCAAACTTTGTCATTGTTACCATAGGAACACATAATCAAGGACAACTTCATGAGACAGGACTGATACACAATTAATCAATTAGAATTGTGTTGGTGTCAATTGTAGCATGTTCAGCATTCCTAGAAATTATTGAGAATTCTGTGCAATCTCTGTGAACAAACTATATTGTGCATTCAGAGAAGACTGCCCACTTGTTATAGCTCACTTCAAAACTTTATCAGTTCCTTCAAATGCTAAAATCTATTCCCACATATTCTATGGCCTGAGCTGCTTTGATAAGGGAGATAACCCCGGTTATTGTATCTTACTCTTTGAATATGTACCACTAACAATACCACAAATTCTCAATAATTTCTGGAAATACCATTGTAATGTGTACAACGTGTGTTTTGTCACATGACTGGTCAATGGTGTACTGCAGAGTGGGTGGGTGGGTGGGAGAGAGAATTTGTTGTAGAAGGGGCCAGCTGTCCAAATCTCTGAGACACGGAATCCTACATGTCCTGACTTGCATCATGTTGGTTCCAGCAGGAGCACCTCTATGAATTAACCTGTTTCCTTTACCAGCACAGACGAAGGTAAGCCAAAGGTAAAAAGACTGACTAGAAAGATAGTTCACAACCACAGAAGCTTAGGTCAGAAAGACGAGATGAGAAGGAATGATTTGGATTCAGTTTTCAAAACGGCATTTGGTTAAAACAGTTTGGCCTGATAGACTAAATCGTGTTTGTTTCCCGTGATTACAGATTTATCTGGGTAAGTATTCATCGGGTTTTCTCTGCGTTGCTATAAAGAGGTGATGTTAGTACAGGTTTGGAGGCAATGGACTAGGGCATGTGAGAAGGTAGCATCTCTAGTGATCCACCTGCATCCGAGTGAGGAGACTCACATGGAAGAAGAACAACGAACACTTGCACTTTGACCTTTGACCTCGAGAGGTCAGAACACAAAGGCAATTCAGCCTGGGATCCGGAAGTCTAAGGGAAGATTACAAGATAATTAAGAATCCCCTTTACCCCCCCGATATACAAAGGTTTGGATATATAAGTAGCATGAAACACAGTGGGGGGGCAGGGGCAGGTTGTGTAGCAAGCAGAGTCACATCATAGCATTGTACTTGGCAGGATCAGCTGGAACCATTACCTCTGAGTAGTTTGGGTGAACACAGCATGTTAGTTGGTTACAACATGCCACAACAGACATTCAGAGAACATCACATTCAGTGTTTGGGATTCAAATGCGCTCACATGCTGATAACAAAATTTCCCTGGACATCAATTTTTAGAGTTACTTGCAGTGTATCAATTTTCACCTTGACAGTCAAACCCCATAACTCCTCATGAGGTTGGTGTTCCTCAGTACTAAGACAACCTCATCTCATGTACGATAACATCATTTTGTGAAACAAGTTCAGGTTGATCAGAAAAGTGAGTAATTTGTTATCTCCCTTGCTCCTTGCCATGCAAACCAGTCTTGCTGTACTGCCATGTACAGCTATCTTACCTGTAAATTTGACAATGCTAATTGAACTTTTAAAACCGAGTTTTCAAATGTTAATTAAACATCATCAAACAGGTTACATAGTTCTACACTGTAAGTACATATGTGTATGTGTATGTGAATTCTACAAATCTTGGGTTGAATCCAGTGTTTTGAGTGGATTGCAGCTGTGAATTTATAGACTTTAAAACCAAATACGTCCTCATACATACTTGAAGGATATCGAATAGCAATACCCTTTACTGTTTAGTATCTGCACAAGACCTTTAATGAAATATTTACTGTCAGCCCAGATAAATCTACAGGTAACACTGTCGTACAGTCTAGAGCTGACCAATCATTGTCATACAGTCTAGAGCTGACCAATCATTGTCATACAGTCTGGAGCTGACCAATCCCTGCCCTACAGTCTAGAGATGAACAATCACTGTCATACAGTTTGGAGCTGAACAATCACTGTCATACAGTCTAGAGCTGACCAATCCCTGCCCTACAGTCTAGAGATGAACAATCACTGTCATACAGTTTTGAGCTGACCAATCCCTGCCCTACAGTCTAGAGATGAACAATCAGTCATACTGTCTATAAATAAACAATCACTGCCCTACAGTCTGGAGCTGAACAATCACTGTCGTACTGTCTAGAGCTGAACAATCAATGTCGTACTGTCTAGAGCTGAACAATCACTGTCGTACTGTCTAGAGCTGAACAATCACTGTCGTACTGTCTAGAGCTGAACAATCATTGTCGTACTGTCTAGAGCTGAACAATCACTGCCATACAGTCTAAAGATGAACAAACACTGTCCTAGAGTTTGGAGCTGAAGAATCATTGTAGTATAGTTTAGAGTTGAACAATCACTGTAGTACAGTCTAGAGCATGAAAATCCAGCTGTCTTATTCTATGAACATGTTTATGAGATGATAATATTTAGACTGACATTTGAATACATGAGCGGTTACTTGTCAAATGTCCAAGCAGTTACAATAAGTTGAAAACAAGGGGTAGATATAGAAGAATACTATGGGGTTTGACTGACTCAGTACTACGTGGAATGTTTAGTAACTTCAGACAAGTAGAATAAACTTTGCACACGTTGGGAGAAATCTGGTTATTAGATACCCATGTCAAGCATAGGATATATTTGTATTAACAGCTGAGATGAAACCTTGCTTCAGGTGAACCCCTAACTACCCACATTCTGCATGCTTCCATTTAGTATTTAGTGATGTGTTTAAAACAGAAAAAACAAGATGTGGTGAGGGCCATAGAATGACAATCTGTCATGCATGTATATAAGGTGTTTCCCCTTCTCATGCCCTCAGGAGGAAAGTTGAGCTGCTTCAATGTTACCCTTGGCTCGGAATCATCAGGACAGGTATCACTCTCCATAATGACCACTGCTTCAGTACACTTGACCAACAAGATTTTCCATACATCACTTTGCTTTTCAAAATCGAGTCACATTTATATGGAAAGCAACCTTTTATACTGACTTAAAGCTGCTTCACCACAGAGTGACAATCGGTGAGATTCCAGGGTTAAGAAATTGCTTTCAATGGGTGAGACCAGGAGGATTGTTTTTGAGGAGGAAACCGAACTCCTAGAGTCCCCTGCCCACCCACATGTCTCACGCTTCAAATAAAGAATAAACAACAAAATCTGTTCTTACAGTACCTCCGTAGCATGAGACTCCCATCTCTCCAATGATGCTAACATCAACGTCCAATTATCGATCTTTTAATAAGATCAGATCAAGGCATCCAAGAGCTCAGCAACCTAGACTGCCAAGTCTCTCCCTTTTTCTTTACAATTATCCAACTGGCAAATGTGCCGAACGAAATAAAGTCAGTTACTGTTGAACATGTCAATCTGTCAAACTGATTTTGAAAAAACAATAATGTAGATAAAACATTTTAAGAGTTCTCATTTTCCATTTATGGCAAATTTTTTGTCAGTACTGAAACCAAGGAACTGCTCGGGAAATTGATTAATTTGTGAACCTTAAGGCCAAAACATGCTCCTTCTTCCTGAACAATTCCCTAGTTCAGATCCCTAGGTACCAGAGATATGTTTGTTATGTTAACAGCAAGGGAGGTACTCAGCAGCTAGAATTAACAGGCTGAAATCTAACATTTCAGGTTAACATTGTATAACATGAGCACATGAATTGCTTAAGCAATGGATGCCAGTTTTATTTTGTCTGGGTAAACAGGAACAGCTAAGGCTCAAGCAGACTACACAACCGATATCTTGAGATAAGATACATTCACAAATCAAAGTAGTTACAAGGGCTTATGAAGCACTTTTCGCCTTCCTATTTCAAACTGCCGTGCGGTCAACTTGTTTCAAGATCTGATTAAGTTCCGAACCAGTGAAACCACACCCAAGCATACAGTGTTCTACATCCACAACACATGCTGAAGACCTACCCCGCGACGGATGCAGCCCTACTTCTAGTCAGCTTACATCTCGATGACGTAGAACCTGCCTGAGCCTGAGCTGGGACAGACTGACCTTGCCGACACACGCATAATCTTACCAATTCCGATGCCAAACTGTTGTCCTTGTGCAGGAAAACATTGCAGAAGGATTACTTTGGAGCCAAAGTATGGCGGTATTCAGCGCCATAGGGCAAAAGCTCATGCTTGTATACTGTAATGCTGTGATGGCAAGCATCCCTCATTAATACTGTAAGGGCATAGATGTGTCTAAAAGAAGCTGTCTCGGAATGGATTCATCTTGGCATCAAGTGCTTGTATGGCAAAAGTAGTTTGTTGCTATGGACAACGCCTGTAATTTGGGTAGCAATGGAAGTGTCGACAACCGATCCTACCCCACACACAGATATAGAAGGGGGGAATTTCACAGCACATAGATACCAACATGAATTCATTCCAATTTCAAACCCCATGATTTACAAATTACCATTTGAAAAACAATTCATTGAAAAGTCAGTGGGGTAAGGTTGTCACATAGCTAGGATAGTATACATATGTAAGTTATCACATATGCTCATCGTTGAATGGTCAATAGAGCTGAGTGGATGGCTGATCAGCACTACATTTAGATTTACTGTGGATAGATAGATATGTTTTAGATCTATTTTAAAAGGTAAGACAACAAGCCGCTCACAGTATGAAGGAGGTTATGGCCAGTTGGGGCTGGGAAGAACAAGGGGAGGTAACTGCCGTACTTACATGGGTTGTAATAGAACTCCTGGGGGTCGCTGATCTTCCCTCGACAGTGGATGACAATCTGCACCAGGATGGGTTTCGAGATGCTCTTCTGTTGATACTCAGGAATTTTGCAGATTAAATGTGTCTGCAATCAGATTTAAATAAATAGGAGCACTTTGCCTTGATGAGCTGACAGCCATGACTGATGTTTATAAGAAACATGGGTTTGTGAAAGACTCACAGCATTGTTTGAGCCATAAGACTGCCGTCAGTAATTATTCAAGTCTGGAACAGGCAATCCAATCATTAATATCATAGCACTGATCCACATAACTGGAAGATGCTTGCAATTGGTTGGTTGGTTTGTTTAACTCTGCACTCAGAAATATTCCAGCTATATGGCGGTGGTCTGTAAATAATCGAGTCTGGACCAGACAATCCAATGATCAACAGCATGAGCATTGTTCCATGCAACTGGGATACGATGACATGTTGTTCATGTTGTTCAGCTGCTTCACATGGTTCGATTCACAGGAAGCATCCTTCAGCCGTGTCAAACCAGAGCAATTATTGTGCAGGATTGACAGACAGGCACAGTTGTTGTTGCTCCTAAAACGTTCTTATCAACAAGCACTGTGTAATATAAGTGACAGATAATCTGTTTTTCCTGTGCCTACCTGCTGGAAATATTCCTGGTCAATGTCAGCCTCCTTCTCCCACAGCGTCTTGCCGTTCTCAACGGAGATCTCCTGGAACTTGACCTGGGTGCCCTTCAGGAAGTTCTTCCCAATGATGAACAGGTCCTGCCCACCAGTTGCAGGTGTCTCTTCCAGGCTCATCCGGCTGATCTCAGGCTGACCCACTGGCTGAGCTGATCAAACATCATTCACATGAACATCTCATTTAGAACTTGAAGATCCAGCAGGACTTCTCACATAACACTCAAACGCAGATCACTCATACAGGACTCATCTGAACAATTTGAGATTGACCCAGACATTTGCATAGTGACTAAGTTAAAATGGAAATATTTTACTAAAATCTCAGCACATCAGCTTAGTGTTGGAATAAAGACCAAAGTGATAAATGTTTTCGATGTTTACCTGTTTAGGAAGGGTAATCACTTGAAACTCACAAAGACTAAGACTGTCCAAAAATGGGTTCAACACACAAACAACAACACACTCCATTGACTTACAGGGGTGGAAATAACCCATTGCCCGACGTCCCCGTCCAGTGCTTTTTTCTGTCGGGCAAGCAAATTTGTATAGCACGGTGTACCGCTGTCCAGTTGACTTTCCAATGTTAATTATGTTGCTTATTTAAAAAATGAACAGGAAAATCAGCCTGTATAGTGGAAAAATTATCAGGGCAAGTGACTTTACATGTGCCACTGTACCGGAATACCCTAGCAAGTTTAAAGTTATTTCCACCCCTGACTTACTAAGATCTCACATACACATCAAGTAACAACAGCTGCTCATAATGGTATCTGTAATAACTCTTACAAAATCCAAACAATAGCTCAGATGCGGAATTGTCTAGGCTATATTTACTGACCACCCGATTCCGTTAGTTGCCTCTTATGACAAGCATGAGCTACTAAAGATCAATTCTAACCCGGATCTTCACAGGTGTGAACATGCAAGAGGCACCTATACTTACTGCAGATGATGGGCGATGAAGCCACTTGAAGCGTCTGGAAGTTGCCGTCAGGTTTTTGGAAGGTAACTCTGAATATCAGCCGTGCCCTTGTGCTGTTTTTCTTCTTTGCCCGAGCTTTGGCAACTCCGATTCTCTTCTCCACATCAGCATTACGCAGTTTAAGGATGCCAACACAATCAACACTTAAGAGAAGAGAGTTGGGTTTGTACATATCCATTACAACTATTTACAACACGAGAAACTTACTTTCAGTTTAACTATACCTGAAAATTTGGTTTTGTTTTGGTAAATAGGCTTACTATCAGCTATATATTGCATAATGTCAACCTGTTACATAAGTCTGGGCCCCACAAACCAGTGGTTGATGTTATGAGCAATGCCCCACATCAATGGGCTACAAATGCCCCTCAGTCAACACTGGCATATCTATTGAACACAAAACAAACTTATTACCTGACTGTCATTTCACTTGATGGTGTCATTTCCGTTTCTATGACGACAGTGCCATCTATTTCCTTCTCCTTGGAGGGTGTGGAGTTCTTGCCACACACTTTGCAGGCTTGGTAGAAGCCATGGGGCTTCACTCTCCCAGTCTCATTACCCACAAACACCTGCAGACACACAGTGTCGCTGTGGCCAATAAGCTGAAAGGTCAAAGTTCAAGGTTCAAGGTTCATGTCCTAGACCTCATAAATGAATGTTGTATCATTGCCGTTAATAAAGACTCTGTCAACATTAAAGATGTTATTAAAAATAAGGTCATGATCACAATGATGATGTCTGCAGACACCCTGCATACCCCTTGGCCCAAAATCTGAACAAAATCTATGCCAAAGTTCTCAAGATATCCCATAAGCCAAACCTTAATAACAGGATGAGCTTGCTGGGAACGATCCTTGACGGCCCCACGACTGCCCTCCGTGAGGTAACGTGCTCGGTGCTGCTCCTCTGGCTGCGATACAATCCGCAGTTCATACTGCTGGGTACGAGCAGAGAACTGCGCCCCCAACCCAGTGTCCTTCACCTTGCGAGGTCTCTGTATGGGCGGGGGCCATGGACTTGAGGGATCCAGTTTCAGTAGCAGTGGGGAGGTGCTGAGCAGGCCTACAGAGACAAAAGAGGAGCAAAAGGTTAGTGGTGAGGAACCAGCCATCTGTGACATGAGTTCATTTAGTTTTCCCAGTTCCTCTATCAGGCTTATAAGAGGCAAAGATGCTGTTAGAAATAACCAAACCAAACTATAACGTCATCCATATAGTTGAGCATATGACTTCTTTAAATATTAAATGAGTTACAAAACTATATCTATCTGTTACTTGCTACCCCATTCACTACATCAACTAACAACACAATAACAGAACAAATGAACATATTCAACAGGTTTATAGCGCAAACTACTAAGTTAATACAACCTGAGGCGGACTATGGTGCTACTGCAATCCTACACTACATAACTCTACACAAACAATGCCTCAACAAAGTCCAATCCTATAGTACCTGGGGTCTGCAGGACTCGAGCTAACACTCTGATTGTTCGAACCAAAAGTAAACAAAGCTTGGTTTTCCTGCCCAAACTTAGTAAACTTAAAGTTCATCGTGGATTCTGCCCCTCCTGCATCAAACAGCTTCTCCACGGATATCTCAGACTGTAGATTTGTGTGCGCATCAGAGTTGTGAGTGGACTTCTGGACTTTGTTGGGGACGTCTGCTTCAACAGGGTCCTGCTTGAAAGTTACCGTGTTCCACAAGTCATTGGCAGTATCGTCGTCTTGGAGATGCAGTTCCGCTGACCTGTTGATGAGTGTCAGTTGACTGGTAGCGTCATGGAAAACGCTATTGGGAGACGATATTGAGGAAGCTGATTCTGGGACATTCTCTTCAGGGCTCGACACAGGGCTTGGGCTCAGACTACTATTGTCAACTTCATTATTAGTCAACATTTGCCTCAACATCGAATGTTCACTTCGGCCAGGATTCATTTGTAGCGATAAATCTTGTTTACTTGTGTCCATCATTAGAATCTCCCGAATTTCACTGGACACAGCAGCTTGTTGCTGGTCTGGGATCTCCACATTGAGAAAGCTTGTGGTGTTAGTCGTGACTAGGGTGGAGTTGCCTGTAAAACGGACTCTGGTTGAAGGAGGCAGGTGGATCTGATGCCGGTGCCTCCGTATTGGTTTGTCTGTTTGTGATGGACTCAAGGACAGATTGTGGACCTATATTACCTGGTGGCAAGGAGGAGACAGGTGAGAACATTTGTAGTTTCACATTCGCCAGGTCAGCGGGAAGGTCCATACGTGGCTGTTGCCCTGACATCGGACCTAGGAAGAAGATAATAAAAGGCTCAGTCCTCCTATTTCAAAACCTAAGAAAGGTGTGCAAACTATTCCTTTCTCAAAACGCTATTCTTTCTGTCATATTTACTGACATAATTGAACAAACACCCTTAGATCAGGTTGTTGAATCATAGACTCAAAATACAAACAGCAGCCATCTTGAATACATGAGACGTTTTTATGGATGACAACTTCTTTTTAACTTTTGTATGATATTTCAGAACTAATTCTTGCTCCTTCATAAGGTGAATGCTGAGTCAATGCACAAAGCGAATATATATAGATTATAACTTGTTTACACAATGCAAGGTGGGACAATGTACAAAGATGACAATATCATTATGAAGCTGATAAGATAGGATTAATGTACAAAAATAACAATATATTGGAATGACAAAGCCAAGAGTGGGTGTGGGGTGTGTTATATATATTCACTTTGTGCACTGACTCAGCATTCAGCTCATGAAGGAGGTGAGGTGAGGTGAGGTGAAATTGGGTTTAATGTCGTGTTTGAGAATATTTGGCTCATATGATGACGTGCATGCGTGTGTATGTGTATGTGCGGCTGCTTGTACTAGCCCAGACTTAAGCTGGTTTTATAGTGCTAGCCCACTGAGATACCATGCCGCAGTGAAGCATGAATACCCCACTCAGACACATTATACTGATTCCGAGCAGACCAGTCCTTGTTGTACCCATTAATGCCGGGCGCCAGGCAGGGACCAACAAGTACCATATTTTAACATCTTTTGGTATGACGCGGTCGGGGATCGAACCCGTGACCTTCCGCTCTCCAGGCGGACGCTCTAACCACTACACCACAGAGGCGGTCCCTGATGAAGGAGCAAGAATTAGCTCTGAAACATCATACAAAAAATAAAAGGAAACTGTTATCCATACAAATGTGTCATCTATTAATGTTTGTTCAACTTCTAAATGCCTTTCAAGAACAGCAGCCATCTTGATTTAAGGCAAATTTAAGGAGAAGGAATACATTTGAGATAGAACATGAATTCAAACACATTCACTTACTGGTAACCACTTTCATGTCGTTTGACGACACATTATTACCAATTCCGGTAGTAATAGTCGTCTGCTGACTCTGGTTCCCAGGTTCAGTTGATGATGGATGAGGAGCCTTACAAGTTTCCACAGGAAAATCACAAGCAACCTGGCATCCTGTTGGACCAGGCTCAGTTTTCACAGGAATCAAGTTACCATCCCCAGAAAGCACATTAACCATACATGTATTTGTAATTGGCACAGATGTCGGTGGATTGGCCGTGAATGTTCCAGTTGTGATGCTGTTTGTTGTCACCATGGTAACAGCTTCTGTAGAAAACACATTATTTAACAAGCCTGAATTGCTTGTATTGGTACAAGAATAGGTGGTGGCTATCATTGGTACAGTTTCTGCCTGGGCTGTCTCCTGGGGCATCTTGGGCTGACTGGAGGACAACATCTGCTGCAGCACTTCAGTTATACTCCGCTCAGAGAGATCTGAAACACATGGTCAGCTTGGATGACAATGACACAAAATGCTGCTTAGTATTAACATGTTACATATTCTCAAAATTAGAATTAAATCAGAAATTTAACTCCAGTAGGTAATGGACTCACCATACAGGTGTTACTGTAGGGGGCAGTAGCCGAAGGGGGCTTCAGTAAGAAATGGACTCACCCCGCGGGGGTTACTATATGGAGCAGTAGCCGAAGGGGGCTTCAGTAAGTAATGGACTCACCGTGCAGGTGTTACTATATGGGGCAGGGAACGAAGGGGGCTTCAGTAAGAAATGGACTCACCGTGCAGGTGTTACTGTACAGGGCAGGAGCCGAAGGGGGCTTCAGTAAGTAAAGGACTGAATGTGGTACTCACTGACTGACTGACTGTATGGGTGTGTTACTGTGTGGGGCAGGAGCCGAAGAGGGCTTCAGTAAGTAAAGGACTGAATGTGGTACTCACGGACTGACTGTATGGGGGTGTTACTGTGTGGGGCAGGAGCCGAAGAGGGTTTCAGTAAGTAATGGACTCACCGTGCATGTGTTACTGTATGGGGCAGGAGCCGAAGGGGGTTTCAGTAAGTAATGGACTCACCGTGCATGTGTTACTGTATGGGGCAGGAGCCGAAGGGGGTTTCAGTAAGTAATGGACTCACCGTGCATGTGTTACTGTATGGGGCAGGAGCCGAATGGGGCTTCAGTAAGTAATGGACTCACCGTGCAGGTGTTACTGTGTGGGGCAGGATCTGAAGAGGGCTTAAGTAAGTAAAGGACTGAATGTGGTACTCACTGACTGACTGTATGGGGGTGTTACTGTGTGGGGCAGGAGCCGAAGAGGGCTTAAGTAAGTAAAGGACTGAATGTGGTACTCACGGACTGACTGTATGGGGGTGTTACTGTGTGGGGCAGGAGCCGAAGAGGGCTTCAGTAAGTAACAGACTGAATGTGGTACTCACGGACTGACAGTATGGGGGTGTTACTGTACGGGGCAGGAGCCGAAGGGGCTTCAGTAAGTAAAGGACTGAATGTGGTACTCACGGACTGACTGTATGGGGGTGTTACTGTACGGGGCAGGAGCCGAAGGGGGTTTCAGTAAGTAATGGACTCACCGTGCAGGTGTTACTGTATGGGGCAGGAGCCGAAGGGGGCTTCAGTAAGTAATGGACTCACCGTGCAGGTGTTACTGTATGGGGCAGGAGCCGAAGGGGGTTTCAGTAACTAATGGACTCACCGTGCAGGTGTTACTGTATGGGGCAGGAGCCGAAGGGGGTTTCAGTAAGTAATGGACTCACCGTGCAGGTGTTACTGTATGGGGCAGGAGCCGAAGGGGGCTTCAGTAAATAATGGACTCACCGTGCAGGTGTTACTGTATGGGGCAGGAGCCGAAGGGGGTTTCAGTAAGTAATGGACTCACTGTGCAGGTGTTACTGTATGGGGCAGGAGCCGAAGGGGGCTTCATTAAGTAATGGACTCACCGTTGTTACTGTACAGGGTAGTAGCCTGAGGGGGCTTCAGTAAGTAAAGGACTGAATGTGGTACTCACTGACTGACTGTATGGGTGTGTTACTGGGAGAAGCACTAGCATCAGGAGGCTTCAACAGGTTATTGAACAGCTGATTTCCTCCTTGTAAACCTTTAAATAAGGTAACAAATTCTTTTAGTTTAATATAAATTTATTCTTTTGAACAGAATCTTCAGGATGCAAGTCATACTGGAACCTGTCAAATACAACTGACCTATTTCGATACCAGAAGATTTAGACACAACTTCTTAGTGATAAAGCAAGATTTTAAACGGGGAAGAATGTATGTGCATTATTAACAAATCTGAGCTTTCTTCAGCAGAAACAGATGTACAGAGTGAATACAAAGATTTGCGACAATTCATTTGTACAGGAAACTAGTAAAAAAATGTGAAAAAAAAGAAGGACGATAAACTTTGGTTGGCTGGTTTGATCTTTAAAGCCACACTCAGAAATAGTACAGCTATATGGAGGCTGTCTGTAAATAATTAAGTCTGGATGAGACAATCCAGTGGTCAACATAATGAGCATCGATCATCGATGTGTCAACCAAGACAGCAAGCCAGACCACAGGTACCCGATCCCATTAGTCGCCTCTTTGACAAACATGGGTTACTGAAGACCAATTCTAACCTGGATCTTCACGTGTCTCATGATAAACAATTCTTTAAAGACAAAACTATGTGTAAACAAGAATACAACAAGTACACAACTGCTGCCCAGTATTATCACTGTACCTGCACAGTTCGTGGGCTGCGAGTTGAGAACTTGGGTGTTGATTTGCTGGGGCAGCTGGTCGCCGTTAGACTGCTGCAGTAGGTTTGTGATGATGTCCTGCTCGAGGAGAGTCTGGGGGGCAGCTGTACCAACAAAAACAACAAACATAACATCAGTGCACACTAGTGGTGGTCCAATTAATTGAAATAATCGAAGATTGGTCGCAGTGCCTAAACGACCAAGCAATCGATTGTTTTCTCATAATCGAACACAACCAATTTTGGAACACTTGTTTGCATCAACAATATTTTACACAAGGTTGGTTTTGTCTGTGTCATTAAATTTACATTTCATAAGCACTACAAGCTCGTTCCAAGTCATGATTGAATTTATCTTAAAGAATCCAGGAAGTCTGTGTTCCTAACATACTAATCATACTTTAAATATGCAAAATTTGCCAATGGATTTTGTGCAATTTGCAAAAGACCCAAATTACTACGTTTTTTCTTTATTTTTTGTGCGTGCATTAACAAAGATAACAGGAACATTTGATAAATGACGCAAACCAAATTATTTTTTATGATTGGTCGGTTGTAATGAACCAATCATCAATTCGTGGGTTTAGGGCAGCAAGGTACCAAGTGCTATGTGCTTGGGGCAGCAAGGTCCCATGTGCCACTTGGCTCCTTGCTGCGCTCACTCTTTTACGCATCAAGCCTGGTTATTTTTAGCCATGTGGCACTTGGGCCTTTGCGCCACTAAGGGTACTATGTTGCTGTTGAGGTTTCTACACATGGCACTGCTGTGAAGTACTATTTCATGATAAAATACTAGAATTGACAGTTAGTTTACTTGATACACCCATCTTAGGGAAGGGAACCTAAACTTGGCATGGTTGTAGACCTATTCATACGTGGACAACGATTTGAGGAACACATGGACAAAGTAAAAGTACGTGTTATTCACCGGGGAACTGATGTTTTAAACAGAAAACAAACATTTAAATCTTGTTAATTATGGAGCCATTTTACTTAGTGTGTAAATATCCATAAAATTGTATGACAAGAGACATTATTTACTTCATTAATGGTAAATTTGTGTTATTTATCTCTTTTATCGTATAAAAATAGCATTTTCCCTATGTAAACCTGCCCATGTGTCAAACAGTCATTGTTGATCAATACAAAAAAACTTAAATGTCCTGTAGTGTTTGTTTGTGTTGTTTAAAAGTTAGCAGAGCATTGGTGGCATTTCGTTTGTACGGTAGTTTACTTTTTAAGCTGTCAATATGTGGAACTAGACATAGCACAGAGTAAAGATAGCTGCCGCAATCTTGGCTATATTGCTGTGCCCGATGAGGAACATTATCAGGGCATAGTTCCTTTGAAAGCAACACCTGCAACACCAGAGAAGACCTATGGAAACTCAAGGGGACACATGTACAGCCTCAGCATCTACATTAGTGCCATTCCCAGTTGTAGCTCCTCACAAAAGGGCAGACTACAGAAGCCCCAAGAAAAGGCCTTCAAGTAGGAAGAAGCTCAAAGCTCCAGAACTATGGAAGAAAAATATTAGAAAGGCAAAGCACTGCAGAGGGGAAACCTATGTATCCTGTAGAGGGAAACTTGTAGAAGAAAACCACGGGCAAGATATCAATTGTGATAGGTGCCGTTTTTGGATGCTCCAAAACATAGATTTGCGAACAAGGCAGGCAATCTTTGAGAATTATTACCAACTACCATCCTATGAAAGGCAAAGAAACTTTGTGTGTCAGATGGTGGATTCTGTGTCACCAGTAAGATCAAAGGGGAAGAAAACAACTTCTCGACAGTATCATTTTGTCTATGAGGGGAAGAAAATCTGTGTGTGCTGGGAATTTTTTCTTGCAACACTCAATATTTGGAGGAAGGTTGTGGATCATGCATTGGAAATGAAATAACATGGTGTGTTTACAGCCGAAGACAGAAGAGGTGTCACTGCATCTGGGAACAAAATTGACCTTGAAACAATTAACAACATAATCTCCCTTCCACAAATGGAATCACACTATGCACGGAAGGACACTGTGAAGAAATACCTCTCGCAGGACTTAAATATAAAGAAAATGTATATGCTTTACAAGCAAATATGTCAAGAATCAGGTTCAAACTATGTCAAAGAGAGCAAGTATAGGGAAATCTTCTGTACAGAATATAATATTTGATTCTTAAAACCGAAAAAGGATCAATGTTCAAAATGCAGTCTGTACGAGGCAAAGAAATTGGTTGGTACCATTGACAACGAAATTATCAGTAAGTATGAGGAACATCAGAAGGAAAAGGTAGAAGCCAGAAATGAAAAGGAACGAGACAAAGCCGATGCCAAATTAAAAGCTCATTATGTGGCAACGTTTGACTTGCAAGCTGTTCTAAATACTCCATGCAGTCTTGTTGGGGAGCTGTATTATCCAAAAAATTGTCTATAACCTTTCCTTCTACTCTCTTGGGGACCAACAAGGAACATGTCACCTGTGGGATGAAACAAATGGAAAAAGAGGGGCCAACGAAATTGCCACATGCCTATTCAAAAACACCTCTTCCGTATGTCAATCGAAGAAAACTGTGAAGGAAGTGACATATATCTCGGACTCGTGTGGCGGGCAAAATGGAAACCAATTTGTTGCAGGCTCCTTGCTCTATAGCCTTCAAAAAGTTTACACAAATTAAATCACAAATTTCTGACATCAGGTCATTCTCAAATGGAATGGGATTTGATCCATTCGGCTGTTGAAACGGCTAAGAAAAGAACCCAGGTATTTGCACCTGTGCAATGGAGCACGGTGACTTCTCTGGCCAGAGGAGGTAAGAGATATATATTACCATTCCATTGAAATTCGGAGATGTTCTTGATTTCAAGGAATTTGTAAAAAGTTCCTATCCAAACATGAAGATCTCGTTTGGAGGAGAGAGGATCAACTGGCTGAAGATCAAGTGGATTCAAGTCTGACGGGAAGCTGTGAACTCAATCTTTGTCAACTATGGTTTTCAGGAGGAGGACTTCCTGGAGATCAAGGTTATCCCAGGGACTAGGAGGAAATGTCAAACAGCAGCGCAGCAAAAAGCTCCAACACCTGCTTACAATTCCAAGCTGTCAGTTTCTGTTGCAAAGAAGCTGGACTTATTAACTCTGTGTGGAAAAGAAATTATCCCGACAGAGTTCCACCCTTACTATGAATCTCTACCAACATCAGCAACATCTGTTGATCGGCTTCCGGGACCTGCCAGCGATGAGGAGTGGGACGATTAGGACTATTAGTGACCATTATGTAGCACGAGAGACTGATTATTTCAGTGATTGCAGAACACAATGTATTAAATCCCTAACAAATTTATGTAACATAGTCACTTTATGATTTCTGTAATAATATCACTTTTATATCCTGTATTATAAGAAATTCAAATAATATGTATCAAGTCAAACTGAATGGAAAGCATGTCATTTTAATCTCTGCAAAAATAGTTTAGTTCTGAATAAAAACTATCATCTCTTATTTTTTTTATGGTGTTAATATGGTAAATAGTTTTATCTTTATAAAGCTTGAAGGTCTGTTTTGTCATATTGTGCCCAATATTTTACATCTCAATGAATTGATGTATAACAACTGAGATATGTAATAGATAAAACAACAAATCACACATTTCCACCAAACAGATATAAGGTTAACAAGTTACAGTTGACAATACAACATTATTTTCTAGACAAACATATTTCATTAACATCACCAGCAGCAGTTTGCTAAGTGTCAAATGTCCATATTAAATAGATATAGAGTCAAATGCTTAAGTAACAATGAATCTTGCGTCATTAGGTACTCCTTAAATCAAACTTTGTGGTACAAATGCTACGGACAACAAAGTACCAAGTGCCACTTGGCACATTGCAACACTATCTTTACTGTGAAATGTTCGTGCAGCAAAGAACCATGTGCCACTTGGTACATTGCAACCCTATATTTACTGTAAAATGGTTCGTGCAGCAAAGAACCAAGTGCCACTTGGTACATTGCAACCCTGTAATGACTGTATATATGTTTGGGGCAGCAAGGTACCATGTGCCACGTGGTCCTTTGCAGCTCTGTAACTTTACGTGAACATTGGTGAAAGTTAGCAGCAAGGTACCAAGTGCCACTTGGTACCTTGCTGTCCGAATGTTTGAACAAATTCTCTTCATTCAAAAGGTACCATCTACAATAATTGATGTAATTAAGAAATTAAAGCTTCATTAGGAATGACATCAAAGCATTTGATACATGCACACCACCTCTATTGAACATGTATGTATTGGTTAAGCTAAGATATGCAGTGCAACAGATATGAGCATTAAAAACTTCAAATGCGATTTTCTCGGAATGATGAAATGTGCACTTGGTACCTTGCTGCTCCAAACCCTCGAATTGTGAGATTTTAACCAATTCCCAACACTAGTGCACACCACATCACAATAAACAGTCATCATTGGTTATGAAGGGATACACTTGGATTCAGGGATGGCAACAGGAAAATCTATTTTCAGCTGCAAACTTAACATTGTTTCATCGAAAGGGGGATTAAGGGATTAAGACAATTCACAGAATTGATCCATTTGAAATAAAATCGACGGCAATCCGTGGATCAGCGGAAAATTGCCATAACTGAGGATTATGTCATGGGGTAGTGTACAGCCTATCTTCCCAGTATTGGGGTCATGTGATAGGGTAGTATACAGCCTACCTTATTAGTATTGGGGTCATGTGATTGGGTAGTATACAGCCTACCTTATTAGTATTGGGGTCATGTGATGGGGTAGTATACAGCCTACCTTATTAGTATTGGGGTCATGTGTGGGTAGTATCATAGTATTGGGGTCATGTGATGGGGTAGTATACAACCTACCTTCCCAGTATTGGGGTCATGTGATGGGGTAGTATACAGCCTACCTTATTAGTATTGGGGTGATGTGATGGGGTAGTATATAGCCTACCTTATTAGTATTGGGGTCATGTGATGGGGTAGTATACAGCCTACCTTATTAGTATTGGGGTCATGTGATGGGGTAGTATACAGCCTACCTTATTAGTATTGGGGTCATGTGATGGGGTAGTTACTAGTATACAGCCTACCTTATTAGTATTGGGGTCATGTGATGGGGTAGTTACTAGTATACAGCCTACCTTCCCAGTATTGGGGTCATGTGATGGGATAGTATACAGCCTACCTTCCCAGTATTGGGGTCATGTGATGGGGTAGTATACAGCCTACCTTCCCAGTATTGGGGTGATGTGATGGGGTAATATACAGCCTACCTTATTAGTATTGGGGTGATGTGATGGGGTAGTATACAGCCTACCTTATTAGTATTGGGGTCATGTGATGGGGTAGTATACAGCCTACCTTCCCAGTACTGGGGTCATGTGATGGGGTAGTATACAGCCTACCTTATTAGTATTGGGGTCATGTGATGGTGGTACTTTGCACCCTACCTTCCCAATATTGGGGTCATGTGACGGTGTACTATGTACCCTACCTCCCCAGTATTGGGGTCATGTGATGGGGTATTATGTAACCTACCTTCCCAGTATTGGGGTCATGTGATGGGGTACTATGTAACCTACCTTCCCAGTATTGGGGTCATGTGATGGGGTACTATGTATCATACCTTCCCAGTATTGGGGTCATGTGATGGGGTACTATGTATCATACCTTCCCAGTATTGGGGTCATGTGATGGGGTACTATGTATCATACCTTCCCAGTATTGGGGTCATGTGATGGGGTACTATGTATCATACCTACCCAGTATTAGGGTCATGTGATGGGGTACTATGTATCATACCTTCCCAGTATTGGGGTCATGTGATGGGGTACTATGTATCATACCTTCCCAGTATTGGGGTCATGTGATGGGGTACTATGTATCATACCTTCCCAGGATTGGGGTCATGTGATGGGGTACTATGTATCATACCTTCCCAGTATTGGGGTCATGTGATGGGGTACTATGTATCATACCTTCCCAGTATTGGGGTCATGTGATGGGGTACTATGTATCATACCTTCCCAGGATTGGGGTCATGTGATGGGGTACTATGTATCATACCTTCCCAGTATTGGGGTCATGTGATGGGGTACTATGTATCATACCTTCCCAGTATTGGGGTCATGTGATGGGGTACTATGTATCATACCTTCCAAGCATTGGGGTGGTGGTGGTGGTGGTGGAATTGGGTTTAACGTCGTGCTTGAGAATATTTCGCTCATATGACGACATGCATGCGTGTGTATGTGTATGTGGGGCTGCTTGTACTAGCCCCGACTGAAGCTGGTTTTATAGTGCTAGCCCACTGTGATACCATGCCGCAGTGAAGCATGAATACCCCACTCAGACACATTATACTGACTCCGTCCAAGTATTGGGGTCATGTGATGGGGGTACTATGTACCCTACCTTCCCAGTATTGGGGTCATGTGATGGTGTACTATGTACCCTACCTTCCCAGTATTGGGGTCTATACAGGGTACTAAGATATCCTATCTCCCTTGTACCAGGGTTATAGCTTGCGGTTATCTGTATTGTACCTCCCTGATATTGGGACATGCATGGGATACAATATACACAATTACCTTGTTGTATGGGTGATGGTAGGTTTGTGGGGATGGGGGTGTTGTCACTTTGGTTGATGCTTCCATTCTGTACTTGGTCCTCCAGGAACTGATTAAGCATTTCACTGTTCGATATAGGTGTCATTGTCATTCTGGAATGAAAACATTATGTCACTCATCACATATTCAATCCAAACATATATACTTAGAAACAATCCCATAGTCACATGACATTTAACAAACAAGCAAAGACTTGCTGATATGAGAGAAACCCGATACTGACCACACTCTCACACTCAGTCATTAATGATTCGTCATGGTCATACATGCATAACAACATGATACATGTAGGCCTGCTATCTGAGTCATACACAACATACACACCATTATTATCATCCCCCTTCATGAAAAACACTCAGGCTGAAAAATAGATTTCACAAGATCAAAATGACTATTATCATTCTATTAACAAAGATACATGTACATGTTTACGATACTAATACTAGTATCTATGACAACATATAACAATAACTAAATTACTGCTTCGGTAGCAGCAGAAGTACAGATAAGCTGCGTATCTGCGTAAATTACGCAAATATTTATGTGAAAACTCAATTCCTATTACGTCTGTTGCGTACAAGTACGCTTGTATTTTTGTAAATACTCAATAAATTTGATTGTACATGCGTACACACAAAAATGTCAAATCTCAGCTTGCGTACCGGTGGATAGATAAAGCAACTGAGGTATATTGAGAGATTCTATTTCGGCACATGAACACTCAACTAGCAGTCTTTCATATCGTTTCTCATATTACAGATCAAATATAAATAACAAACACTAACATTTAAACTTTATTATATTTTTACAATTAATGGAAAATGGCAAAATACCCAATAGATTTTGAGTGAGGTGAGTACAATTTGTTTGGTTACTCAAATGAAAATCAGGATACCCAACTGAGATGAAGACAAGCGGGTACATAACTCAATGACCCAAAAAGTTATCTGTAGCTCTGGGTAGCAGCCCTAGAAGTGTGTGTGTGTTCATCTCTATGTTCCCTACGGCTTTATTTGACCTGAACACTTCCGTCATCTACTCTAGTGACTTCCCCTACATCTGATATAATCAGGATCACATTTTGCACATAGTATAAAAGTAAACTATACTACATTGAAATAATAGGTCAACCAATAGTTACATGATAACATAATACTATAGTATGGGCAGCCTTATCAACTAGTCAGCTCTTCATATAACTGGTGCTAACAGACCATGAATCAGTTTGATTACCTACTAATTACCTGGACCATAAAATGATATAGTAAAAACTGATACATTCATATTATATACTTATTTTCAGTAACAGATTGTCCTTCATTTCAAGATGATCCATCTGAATATAAACATTAACTACAAAAGTTTATGTGGACATTGGTGCGTTAATAAGCTGAAAACACCTGTACATACCAAAGACTGGTTATTTCTCGTATTCATGCATGTGTTACACAGATTCTGCAGAAAGCCTGTTTTAACCAGTTGAGCGGAGGTCACCATTCATGAAGCTAGGGTCAGCAGTCATGACAAGTCTTATCTTAGTCTCTATGTAGGGCATCACGATCAGCTGATGAGATACCCTGACTGGAAGAATGTGACAACCATGGCCATACACCTGGTCCTAGTTCCCTAGGCTGGTATATAGTGCCATTATCTTATTTCTCCGGCATACATGTTCTCAGACTAATTGTGCCATCATTACATGAACATCTGTCCACTCAAAAGTAGGACATGATCGTCACCTGTCTTATATATTTGGGTGTGGACAAAACAGATAAAGTTTTGTGAAAAATGGCTGCTGCTAGATTGAAATTACTTATTAAATCAAATAACACAAAGAGACCAATAAATTTAACAGATTTAACAAAAGGTACCACAGAACATCAATTTAGCCTACCATCCCTCCATATTTGATAGACACATGTCACAGGCGAGCTTATCACTCAACATGATTGAAATTAGGAGGATATAAGACAAGCACTGTTAAATTAGTCATCACAATATTACCAGTAAGATGGGTTTAAGTACTTCAACAGCGATTAAAGCCACATTGAACAGTATTTCAGTTGCATCAAAGTATGTCAGTTAATCATGGCAGCAAAGCTCAAATAATTTCAACTCAGTTGCATGAGTACAGAAGAAAACTTGCGTAAATCCAACACCATAACACAAGACCACTAAATGATCAGCAGATCCTGATACTACTAAGGAACATAACTCTCTAAAGTTCCCCTCACCATAAGTTCCCATTACTGTTATGTTAACAAGTTTAAGCCCTTAAACATAATGAGACAGAATATGTTGGATGACTTAACACAATGATGTTTTTAGACACAGATGTTGTATAGAGTGGACAAGGTAGGGATGTGCAGATATTGATGCACATGTACACCCCGTGATACAAACACGTGAAGATCCCGCTTAGAATTGATCTTCAGTAACCCATACTTGTCGTAAGAGGTGACTAAAGGGATCGGGTGGTCAGACTCACTGACTTGGTTGACACATGTCATCGTATCCCAAATGTGTAGATTGATGTTGATGCTGTGGATCACTGGATTATCTGGTCCAGACCTGATAATTTACAGACTGACATCATATAGCTGGAATATTGCGGAGTGTGGCGTAAAACTATACTCACTCAACCCTGATGATACAATGCACAATTCAGGCTTTCATTCTATCATGTCTGTTTATTTTCAAAATATATTATTATAATCTGTATAGAATTCTGCAATAACCTGGCCTCCTACCTAGCTCTACCTTTACAGGTCAAGGTCAGGGGTATAATAATACTGTTCAATGAACCCTAAATTAAATAATCACAGAACTTAAATTTTAAGCTGGTCAGTAATGAGCTCTGACAAGCCATGTAGTAGATTTCAGTTTCATACAAATGATTAAGACGTGTATTTTATGATGATAAGACTGAATATGTGTATGGGACAATGAGTAATCTTTGATCCTGTTGGTCGTGAAGAAACGCATCATATGCATATAAAATGATTCAACATTCAACTGATCAAACCACAGGTGTGAGTGAGTATGGTTTTATGCCGCTTTTAGCAATAATCCAGCAACATCACAGCGGGGGACACCTCCCCAGAGGAACCTGTAACACTAATCATGGCTTACACAAAAGACGGCAGGTCATTTCTTGTTCAAAAGGTTATATTAGGTCGAAGATGGGTAGCAAGGGAACTGGAGTCATATTTGTCCTGAGTAGGACAAAATGCCAGCAACTTTCAACTATTTCACACAACAAAGTATTTCTACAATTATAATTCAGGGGTAAGTCACACGAAAGCTGTGAAATTTCCAATACAAGTTCTGCAATTCAAATTCAGTGCTATTAATCATATCTAAAGGTATGGGCTGTGGTAACTGGTATACCTGTAGAGGTTGCACAAACATTTCAATTTGTTTAATGTCGCACTCTGCAATATTCTAGTTATGGGGTGGCTGTAAATAATCAGATCTGAATCAGACAATCAAGTGATTAACAACATGAGAATCTATCTTTGCAATTCAGATACATTGAGAAGAGAACAGCCATGTCATTTTGCCTGACCTCCCAATCAATTCAGTGACCTCTCAAGATAAACACAGGCCATAGGGGCCTACCATCCACAGATCAATTACCAAAGCATATCTATCGCATCTATCATGATCTACAGGATGTGAATTGTTCCTTTGATGCACACAGAATTATTTAAGAACCATCAAAGTGTACGAGACCCATGAAGATACGGGTTAGATTTGATCTTCAGTAACCCATGCTTGTCGTAAGAGGCGACTAACGGGGTCGGGTGGTCAGGCTCGCTGACTTGGTTGGCACATGTCATTGTTCCCAATTGCACAGATCGATGCTCATGATGTTGATCACTGGATTGTCTGGTCCAGACTCGATTATGTACAAACCATTGCCATATAGCTGGAACATTGCTGTGTGCCATGTAAAACTTAACTCACTCACTCAATATGTCCCTCAATGACTAAAATGACATGTAATCGACCAAATCAGTGAGCATGACCACCAGATTCATCAGTTGCCTCTTATGAGGAGCACTGATTGCATGGGCCCTATTTGAAACAACCCTACAAGACAACATGAAAATGAAACGGCTAACTATATTCATAACATATGCATAAAAGGTTTTGTATTTATATAATGTTCATAGTACCACTCAAGTTATATCGTTTAAGATATTTATCTCTGAATCGAACTTCATTCTTTTGTATCAAAGGTAATATGCTTAAGTGGCATAATAGTGTCAATCAAAGCTTTTAAAAAACAAGCTTTTAAAATCTAAAAATAATTACATTATTTTTACTCAGGTAAATATGCAAATATTACAGATGTATGCAACGATTGTGTCAAACAGATAAATTATCCAACCTATCCACTGTAAATACATAAATTACATACACACTGATAGGTTTGTGATAGAGATCTAATTATGTATTACACACCTTAACTTAAAAAATATTTAATACTTCCTCATATGATTGCAATTAATTAATTTTTTTACACCATTAAAAATTAAAGCAACGAATGTTAAATTCTTCTAATACATTACATATTAATCAAGGCAAGATCGATCGTTCAGTGAATCTTGTTTACGTGTTTCTATTAATAGACGGGGCACTATGACGGCCTTGACCTGTGACCCGTCGCACCCCCCGAAAGGGCCTCATATCGGTAAGATATACGAGCGTTCTGTATGATTAATTGTCAACGAAACAGCATAAGAAATGTCACATTATAAAGGCAAAGAACTCTTCTGTTACTAATCGGAGCTGTCATGCCTTCATGTATCAATGTACTATATCTACTGCCACCAGACATTCGTAAGTGGATGTGGCGAGATCTACCAATCGCAGACAGTGACTCCATCGTGCAGTAAAAATCAGCTACTTACTTATCAGCTTTTCCGTGTCTAATGTCCCTCTATTACTTACTCAAATAACACATTACCGATGACAATATTATTTGGAAGACAGAAGACAAAAATCGTCTGCTTCGCTTAAAGTCAGTCAGTAGGTCGAGGCCGTACCGTAGAGTCTAATTCATGAGCAGCCGCCATGTTGAATATTTTCACGTACCTTGTTTTGGGAGAAAAGGGTTCTTATTTTGCATTTGTACAATTTCCTATTGTTGTAAACGTTCCACTAACATTCCTTTAATCCAGGATGATTAAATCCAATACTGTCTTTCCAAATTTTAATTGTCCAATTGAAAATCCTTTTCCCTATTGCGGAGGGTCATGTGAGCTGTTGTTCGTCAAGTCGTTTCTGAATACGCTATCGCGAACACAGCGGCCTAACTACAAGTAACCAGCATTTTCATTGGCTGAAATCTTCCCGTGTTGTTATACCCTATATCCTACTGGTGGATACTCAGATGGCACTAATAATGTAACCATGACGTCACTCTTTATTTATAGGGACATTCTGTGGAACTATCTCTGTATATGGAAGCACAGTTAAGTTGGGGGAGCTTCACACTTAACATTTAAGTAGATAATTCGGAATCTTTCCCAACTATTATGTAATGATTCTTTATCCTGTCCCTTCGTCAAAAGGAAAATGTCAGTGATTCCCCGTCAGTGAATCTGTATTACACGTTTGTAAATTAACTTTATACTATTTCTTTTGGCAAAGTAAACGCCGAAGCATAGTACATAATTATTATCTGGATATGCATAAATAATGAAGTCTGTGTAAATCGACACGTGGACCATAACTGATTTTCCGCTGAAATTAACATGTATATATACAGTCCTTGAAGTAAACATATGCTCTTAATGAAGGTTCGTACAGTAATATATCCAGTCACTGGATTGTCTGGTCCCAGCTCAATTAGTTTCAGACAACCGTCATATAGCTGGGAAGTTGCTGAGTGGTGCGTTAAACAACAAACAAAACCGACAAAAGCATTAAAGTATGTTCACATCCCTTGTAAATATATTATATAATGTGAGTGAGCTTTGTTTTACGCCGCTTTAGCAAAAATCCAGCAATATCACGGCGAGGTCGTGGTTTTCACACATTGAACCCATGTGGGGAATCGAACCGGGGTTCTCGGCGTGACGAGCGAACGCTTAATCACGAGGCTACCCCACCGCCCCTATTATATAATGTACTTCAATAATCTCAATTTACGTGTATAAATGTGTACGTAATGTTTAATAGCACACATGAGTGCCGCTAGGTACAGGCACTATATCCGTAACTGCTTTTTACTGTCAGCTGCAAAGCTCAGCGTGTAAAAGCATACATATGCAGACAACACATGGCGCCTTCATACAGTTGGATCTCCGATGCAGGTTAAATTCATATATGTCATTGGGAAATAATGACAGGGCACCGAAATGAATGGCACGTTTTTGTCGCTGGAAGCTTGGGTAATGTTTCATGTAAACATACCGCATGTTGAGGACCAATGAATGAGTATCGTTTAGCAATGCGATCAATTGTTTTCAATTGGTGGTAAGCTGGACCAACAACTTCCTGTTCTGCGAACGAGTGTTAAGACCAGAATTGTTCTTACATCGTGCTTCTTCAGGGGTTGAATCCGCGTGACAGTTGATAATAATAAATAATCATAATAATAAGTTCTTCTGTCATGTGTTAGTTTGAAACGTGGATAGGGATTTTAGCCTTCCCCAACCTTCCACTCCACCACACACCCCTCCCCCCTCCGCTCACCCCAACATACAGCCGGATTATTACATAATACGCCGAGCCGATGTGATAATTATAAGTAGTACTAATCTGGTATTGCACCATCTTATCTAATTATTCAACAGTAGGTCCCCCTATCTTATCGAGTAACACTCGTGTGGCTGAACTATACCGTTATTTGAACGGGACAAAGTGGGTCAAAGGTCACCAAGTAACCTGGCCTGACACGTGTTACGTTAGTGAAAACGTGCAGTTCACAGACTCCGAGTTATGGTTTAACTGCCGCTTATGTTTTACGTATATCACAGCATGTCAGTTTAATATACAAAGACAAATGTCTTTCCGCGTATCCCATTGGTGAAACCACAAGCGCGGCTACAACGCTCACAGACCATTACTCATCACGGGTGAACAGGATTCGAACCCGCGCCTATGCCTATTGGGCCAAATGGGCCAACTGCACATCGGTTAAACATGAAAAATATCGGTGTGTTGTCGGTAATGACCGACGATCACCTAGTTCAGTGTCGTAGAGCTGTTGCACCATCGAGCGTTAGGAAGACGACACACGGCCACTGATTGCTGAAGTTTAACACAGTAATCGTGAGCGACATGATGGCGTGGACAACGCATTGTCTACGCATTGTCTAATGTGATGTATGTCATTGATTATAGAAAAAAACCACTTAAACTCGACAAAACAATTTCCAGAATCGTAGGAAATCTCCGCAGAACTCAGAGACAACGTACGATTCCGTCCGTATCCCGAACGTAACTTTATGATTTTCTCTGAATCAACGGTGATGCCAGTTGTTAGCGAGAAGGTGAGCATGACCTATAACTCCTATGTCACCCGTCACAAACATATGCAAAGTCAAGTCAATTGTTAACTCTAAACACACAAAATCAAATTATATGTAGGATTTGCATCCGACGTAAACTTAGTGACACGCGTCAGTTTTAGATATGCCCAATGATTAATTGATTGTTGTATAACGCCACCACTCGGCAATATTCCAGCTATCAATCTGCAAATAATCGAGTCTGGACCAGACAATCCAGTGATCGACAGCATGAGCATCGATCTACGCAATTGAGAACCGATGACATTTGTCAACCAAGCCAGCGAGCCTGACCACCCTATCCCGTTAGCCACTTATGACAAGCATGGGTTACTGAAGATCAATTCTAACCCGGATCTTCACGGGTCAGGTATTCCCAATGAGCTAGTAAAGATATGTCCACGTTAGCCTGACATGTTATGGTTTGTGCTGACACACGATTAGGTCAGGCATATATGCAGAATTTTGCTGAGTCACTGTCTGGATTCGCCCCCATGCTTGTCAGAACACCGGACTGAATAAGATTCAGAGGTCAGGATTAAGGAACCGTATTTTGTTATTCACCCTTACAGTTTGTCTGGTCCGTATCCGATTGTTCAAAGGCCGTTGTTATATAGCTCATCAGTTCTTATATCACTCACTCATTCCAATTGAGGACCGCCTCCGTGGTGTAGTGGTTAGAGCGTCCGCCCAGAGAGCGGAAGGTCGCGGGTTCGATCCTCGACCGCGTCATACCAAAAGACGTTAAAATATGGTACTTGTTGGTCCCTGCTTGGCGCTCGGCATTAATGGGTACAACAAGGACTGGTCAGCTCGGAATCAGTATAATGTGTCTGAGTGGGGTATTCATGCTTCACTGCGGCATGGTATCTCAGTGGGCTAGCACTATAAAACCAGCTTAAGTCTGGGCTAGTACAAGCAGCCGCACATACATACACATACACACGCATGCACGTCGTCATATGAGCGAAATATTCTCAAACACGACGTTAAACCCAATTTCACCTCACCTCATTCCAATTGAAATTCAACGAAAGAGTGTGTCGGGAAAATAAGAAAGGATATTTCTTTGATTGATTTAGCTTCGGACGTCAGTGCGGGGGTGACCACAGAAACAGGCCAGGCATGATATTACTTAAAATTATAGCCCTGTCACAAAGTGTGTTGTTTACATCAAACAACCTATTAAATAAAATGAGTAACAGATGTCAAATACTAGGTTTGACTGAGACCGGATTCTTACCTTCTATCCACATGGCAAAGTCCCTCACTTGTTGTGACCTCAAAGCATAACGCGGCCAGTGTGTTCTGTGTTTTATCAGATTGCTAAGGAAGTTGTTCTGGAGTTAAGGAAGATAGCTCTGATAAATGTCTGATAAAACATAATGAGCGAAAATGGTGCATACAGACAAGACCTTCAGTCCGTTTGTCTCGAAATGAGAACGATGAATTGCAATATAAATAAAAATCGAGAATAGTATATTAAATGTCAATACGGTATACTTGGCAGTGAAAGACTTTTGAAGAAATACCAACCACACAGAAAAGAACGGCAAGATATTTCTGGATTGGTTGGTTGAGTGAGTGAGTTTAGTTTTACGCCGCACTCAGCAATATTCCAGCTATATGGCGGCGGTCTGTAAATAATCGAGTCTGGATCGGACAATCCAGTGATTAACAGCATGAGCATCGATCTGCGCAATTGGGAACCGATGACCGGTGTCAACCAAGCCAGCGAGCCTGACCACCCGATTCCGTTAGTCGCCTCTTACGACAAGCATGGGTTACTGAAGGCTGAATCTAACCCGTACCTTCACGGGTACTGGATTGGGTGAAAATACACTGGTCCCTGTATTGCCTGCCACATCCCTCATTATCACGGACAATGCAACAGATCACAGTATGCGAGACTAACACAGCAAAGTCCCGAGGTATAATCGCCCTAAAGCTAAAGGACATATGGTGACGTGGTAACGGTAACTTTTCCTTCCACGGCTACAAAACCACAACTCCATCAAATCTAACAAACATTAGCCCGTGTGTATCTTTGACGATTCCATCAAAGGTCAAGGTCGCCTTAAAATGTCGATCTGAATCCGATAGAGATCATATGGGGTGTCGTTAAACGCGACGTTGGGATATTGAAAAGCTAGTAGATGACTCCCTTGGTAGGGTAACAGTGGAGACGTGGCAGCGTTGCGTGAGTCAAAATTATGGTCATATGATAGATGTGATGTGATGTGAAATTGGGTTTTACGTCGTGCTTGAGAATATTCCGCTCATATGACGACGTGCATGCGTGTGTATGTGTATGTGCGGCTACTTGTACTAGCCCAGACTTAAGCTGGTTTTATAGTGCTAGCCCACTGAGATACCATGCCGCAGTGAAGCATGAATACCCCACTCAGACACATTAAACTGACTCCGAGCCGACCAGTCCTTGTTGTACCCATTAATGCCGAGCGCCAGGCAGGCACCAACAAGTACCATATTTTAACGTCTTTTGGTATGACGCGGTCGGGGATCGAACCCGCGACCTTCCGCTCTCCGGGCGGACGCTCTAACCACTACACCACGGAGGCGGTATCATATGATAGACTTCAGCAAGCGACAGTCCCACCTGCTGTTGTGATATCAGCAGTGACTCAAGCAATTTCGACGACAAACGAGTCGGCTTAAGAAAAACATTTTGATGAGACAATTATCAACCCCAGTACCGTTGTGTAGCGCATGCGTGTTTGCGTTGTTCCTCCTTCCGTTAAAGATGTCAACTGGTACACATAATGATAACATGACGGTTTATAAATTGAACTACATTTTAAGTGATTGGTATAAAATTAACTGAAAAACCACCACCACAACAACAACACAAAGAAATAAACCCAGGGTGTTCATTGTAGTATGTTGTATTGACATTAAAGGAACTACTCCCGTTTTTGAGTTATTTTGCAATTCATCGTTCTTATTTAGAAACAAACGGAATATACTTATCATGTAGACAATAGCTGGAGGTATTCATCGGATTTATTTTATCACATTTGTCGAAACTCTATATAGTTTTTTGCGCTGTTGATGTGAATATATTAATATTACAACATGACGTGAAGGTGTTGTAAGCCTTCGATATGGAATGTGTCGATATATGACTCAGTCGTCATCATTATCAGTCCCTATTTGTAGATAGTCATGTTAACATGGAGATACAGACTATGTGTCGGTACGGATATCAGGCATTGTCGGTTACAGTTTATGTATACTGAGATATCAGTTGGCCGTCTTAATATGTTGATGTTAACATGGAGATACAGACTATGTGTCGGTACGGATATCAGGCATTGTCGGTTACAGTTTATGTATACCGAGATATCAGTTGGCCGTCTTAATATGTTGATGTCATTGCAGGATTCCTCTGATGCTGCTAGAAGTCGATGATGGCGAGTTACGTGAGTTCACCGACTGTGGATCAAGTAAAAGCTCGTTTGGAAAAGTACGACATCCGGGCCTCCCAAACCTTCCCTGACTCTGTGCATGATCATCTCCGGCGGAGCAGCGTGCTCGTACCTCTGTTTTTCCGGAACGACACCCTACATGTCCTACTGACGCTTCGTTCGGCCACATTACGTCATCACGCCTCGACTGTAGCCTTTCCGGGCGGGAGAAAAAACGAAGACGATGTGGATGACGTTGCAACAGCGCTACGAGAAGCTGAGGAAGAAATAGGACTTCCCCCATCACAAGTAGAGGTGGTCAGCTGCTTGGGCCCAACCTTCTTCCGACCAAATTATTCCGCATTCCCAGTAGTTGGTTTTATACCAGATGGTTTCAAGCCGGTTCCAAACACAGATGAAGTTGAGTTTGTGTTCTCCGTTCCTTTAGCGAGGTTTCTACAGGAAGACTTCGCGACCACTGAAACGACATTGTTAGGCCGAAAGATCTTTATTTGTCATTTCCCGTGCGAGACTGAGAGGGGGGAGGTTTCTGTATGGGGGGGAACAGCATGGATATGTGTATTGTTGGCTGCCATTGTTTACCAAGAAACATTCAGTATCTCCTTTTTCAGCAACAGCAACGCGAGCAAGGATCTAGCCAAGGAATTAGAAGATTTCTTCTTATACATGTGTGAAAACACAAAGCCTCAACACAAACTTTGATTTTCAGGAAGTGAAATGACTTTTGACATCCAAGGATATTTCGCCACGTGATGATCGGGATCAAGGGTTGCACAAATTTGTTGTGTCCCTTAGCTGTGTTAGGATCTGCTGATCGGTAGAATGTTATTATCGTTTATGATTAATTTTCTGTAGGCTTGTTTGTCCATACTCTTCGCCATCTCGAGAGTGGCCAACGTATACAAGCTGATTTAATTTAAATACTATGGATAGCTAGGATTCAATTAAAGCTGGTTGCGAATTGACTACGTAAGGTTTGGGTGAACGTATCCTTCCATGGATAATGAACTCTCACTTGATTATATTTATAACGTTTCTATACTTTGATTGTAGAGCCTTGTTTCTACATTTCTCTCTATATATACGGGTGCTGACACATATTTTTGTCTCTGAAATAATATATATGTATGTGTGTGTATACTGTAGTTTGGTTATGTGTTTTCATGCAGAGCTTTGTTCAACATGTTTGTTCCAAGTGGGTGTGCATCCTGAGTCGACACTGTTTCATGAATTCTACCCGCTGCAGCGGATGCCGGATGCCGTTGTGTGAAAGCAGGCATGCGGGTGGACAGTCAGATGTGTTTGATGTTTGATGAAGCACTATTCAAGCTGTAAATGGCGACCTGTAAGTAACGGACTCTTGGACCACACAAATAGGACGATCGTTTTAGACGATCCAGGTTGCTGGTTGATCAGTTCAGCTGTTTGAAATAAGCAAGGTGACTGGGGATCATCCGCCCTGATCTCTGGAATCGGCCATACGAAGATGGTTCTTGATCTACCCAACTGCCTTGAAGAAGCCAGAAGGTGACTGAGTGTCGGTCATCCGCTCAGATTTCTGGAATCAGCCATACGAAGATGGTTCTTGATCTGCCCACCTGTCTGGAATAATCCAGAAGGGAACTGAGGGTCAGTCATCTGCTCTGATCTCTTTAATCAGCCATACGAAGATGGTTCATGATCTGCCCAACTGCCTGGAATATGCCAGAAAGTGACTGAGGGCCATCCGCTCAGATCTCTGGAATCACCTTCCGAAGATGGTACATGATCTGCCCAAATGTCTGGAATAAGCCAGAAGGTGACTGAGAGCCATCAGCTCAGATCTCTGGAATCAGCCATACGAAGGCGGGTCATGATCTGCCCAAATGTCTGGAATAAGCCAGAAGGTGACTGAGGGCCATCAGCTCAGATCTCTGGAATCAGCCATATGAAGACGGGTCATGATCTGCCCAACTGTCTGGAATAATCCAGAAGGTGACTGAGGGTCTGTCATCTGCTGAGATCTCTGGAATCAGCCATATGAAGATGGTTCATGATATGTCCACCTGTCTTGAAGAAGCCAGAAAGTGACTGAGAGTCAACAGCTCAGATCTCTGGAATCACCCATACGAATAGTGTTCATAATCTGCCCAAACGTCTGGAATGAGCCAGAAGGTGACTGAGTATTGTCAGCTCAGATCTCTGATTAAGAAAACAATTTTTATGAGACGAATATTAATCTCAGTATTGTGCAGCTTGTGTGTGTTTGCGTTGTGTTATGGTTAACAATTTGCCATGACAAAAGGTATAAGAGGCCACTTTGAACCAGCAAAATAGAACACAGACAAGTCTAAAATATTCAATAATATATTGAGCAAACAATGAGCAAGCTACAATGAATGACAATACTGATACTTAGTTCAATGCAATTGAGTCACAAATCTATAATATTGGGTCACAAATATAAAATATTAACTCACCAGAGTCTTGACATTTACAGTGAGAGCAGATATATTGATTGAAGGTTGTATACAATGAGTGTAGACGAATAGGCAGGGACAGTAAGTCTTAACGATGTTGATTAACAATGGCAGACAGATGTACACAACCCCAGTGATATGAAAAGTCCGTGTATGATTCCGTGTGGCACAACACAACAACCAGCCTTTATATAGCTCTGTCACAGTTCTCGAGCATTCTAGTATAGATAGGCTGCATCTTTATCCACTCAGTTATCGAAATTCGTCGAACATGCGATCGGCATTTAAAACAAAATAAAGCCAAGGGAGGCAACTCTGGAGCGCTATCAAAAAGGCGTACCGCTAAATTACTATTGCCATTGAACATATATGATGCGAAATGTGACCCACAACCCACACTCAAAACGTTAAACATTGTGACCCAATAATAACTATAACTTAATCAATTATATTACAAATTACAAAAAACCCGCTCTCATAACAGTTGTTCCTCCTTCTTTTAAAGATGTCAACTTGTACTCATAATGATAGGGGCGGTGGGGTAGCCTAGTGGTTAAAGCGTTCGCTCGTCAAGCCGAAGACCCGGGTTCGAATCCCGACAAGGGTACAATGTGTGAAGCCCATTTCTGGTGTTCCCCGCCGTGATGTTGCTGGAATATTGCTAAAAGCGGTGTAAAACCAAACTCAGTCAGTCAGTCATAATGATAACATAACGGTTTCTAAACTGAACAACATTTCAAGAGATTGGTATAAAAATAAACCACCCCTACACTCCCCACCCCCCAAATATTGTTGGGGTGGGTTCCTTCCGTATACTGTATTGACATTTAAGGGACTACTCCCGAGTTTGAGTTATTTTGCAATTCATCATTCTTATTTGGCAACATACCTAATGTCCTTTTCATGTAGACAATAGCTGGAGGTATTCCTCTGTTTTGATTTATTTCATTACATCTGTCGAAACTCTGTGGAGTTTATCGCGTTGTTGATGTGAATGTATTAATATTACAACATAAGTCAAGGTGTTCCAAGCCTTCGATATGGAATATGTCGATAGATGACTCAGTCGTCATCTTTATCAGACCCAGTTTTAAGATAGTCACACTGACATGTTGATAAAGACCATGTGTTTGAACAGATAACAGTCATTGTCTGTTACAGTGAGATGTTATGTTTAGTGAGATATCAGTTGGCCGTCTTTATATTTAGATGCCACTGGAGGAAACTGAAACGACTTTGCTCTGGAAGTCGATGATGGCGAGTTACGCACTGAGTTCACCGACTGTCGATCAAGTAAAAGCTCGTTTGGAAAAGTACGACATCCGGGCCTCCCAAACCTTCCCTGACTCTGTGCATGATCATCTCCGGCGGAGCAGCGTGCTCGTACCTCTGTTTTTTTCGGAACGACACCCTACATGTGCTACTGACGTTTCGTTCAGTCATATTACGTCATCACGCCTCGACTGTAGCCTTTCCGGGCGGGAGAAAACACGAAGACGATGTGGATGACGTTGCAACAGCGATGCGAGAAGCTGAGGAAGAAATAGGACTTCCCCCATCACAAGTAGAGGTGGTCAGCTGCTTGGGCCCAACCTTCTTCCAACCAAATTATTCCGCATTCCCAGTAGTTGGTTTTATACCAGATGGTTTCAAGCCGGTTCCAGATGAAGTTGAGTTTGTGTCCTCCGTTCCTTTAGCGAGGTTTCTACAGGAAGACTTCGCGACCACTGAAACGACTTTGTTAGGCCTAAAATTGCTGGTTTACCATTTCCCGTGCGAGACTGAGAGGGGAGGTTTCTGTATGGGGGGTAACAGCATGGATATGTGTATTGCTGGCTGCGATAGTTTATCAAGAAACAATCAGTGTCTCAGTGTTCAGCAACAGCGGATCGACCGGGCCATGGTGAAGGATCTAGAAGATTCCTTCTTATACATGTGTGAAAACACAAAGTCTCAACCCAAACTTTGATTTTTAGGAAGTGAAATGACTTGGGATCCAAGAATATTACGTCCCCTGATGATCGTGATCAAGGGTTGCACAAATTTGTTGTGTCCCTTAGCTGTGTCAGGATCTACTGATCGTTGGAATGTAATTATCGTTTGTGATTAATTGTCTGTCAGGTAGTTTGTCCATATTCTTGGGTATCTCGAGAGTGGCAAACGTATACAATCTGATTTAAATGAAATACTAGGACTGTATCAATTAAAGCTTGTTGCAAATTGACTACGTAAGGTTTTGGGTGAACGTATCATTCCATGGATAATGAACTCTCACTTGATTATATTTATAACGTTTCTATACTTTGATTGTAGAGCCTTGTTTCTACATTTCTCTCTATATATGCGAATATTGACACATATTTTTTGTCACTGAAAATACATATGTACGTGTGTGTATACTGTAGTTTGGTTATGTGTTTTCATGCAGAGCTTCAAAATGTTTATTCCAAGTGGTCGTGCATCCTGAGTCGACACTGTTTCATGAATTCTACCCGCTGCAGCGGATGCCGTTGTGTGAAAGCAGGCATGCGGGTGGACGGTCAGATGTGTTTGATGTTTGATGAAGCACTATTCAAGCTGTAAAGGGCGACCTGTAAGTAACAAATAGTACGATTGTTTAAGACGATCCAGGTTGCTGGTCCATCAATTCAGCTGTCTGGAATAGGCCAGGTGACTGGGGGTCATCAGCTCTGATCTCTGGAATCAGCCATACGAAAATGGTTCTTGATCTGCCCAACTGTCTTGAAGAAGCCAGGAACTGATTGAGGGCCATCCGCTCAGATCTCTGGAATCAGCCATACGAAGATGGTTTTGATCTGCCCAACTGTGTGGAATAAGCCAGAAGGTGTCTGAGGGTCATCAGCTCAGATTTCTTGAATCAGCCATACGAAGATGGTTCTTGATCTGCCCAACTGTGTGGAATAAGCCAGAAGGTGTCTGAGGATCATCAGCTCAGATTTCTTGAATCAGCCATACGAAAATGGTTCTTTATCTGCCCAACTGTGTGGAATAAGCCAGACGGTGTCTGAGGATCATCAGCTCAGATTTCTTGAATCAGCCATACGAAGATGGTTCTTGATCTGCCCAACTGTGTGGAATAAGCCAGAAGGTGTCTGAGGGTCATCAGCTCAGATTTCTTGAATCAGCCATACGAAAATGGTTCTTTATCTGCCCAACTGTGTGGAATAAGCCAGAAGGTGTCTGAGGATCATCAGCTCAGATTTCTTGAATCAGCCATACGAAGATGGTTCTTTGATCTGCCCAACTGTGTGGAATAAGCCAGAAGGTGTCTGAGGGTCATCAGCTCAGATCTCTTGAATCAGCCATACGAATACCTATGGCTCATCATCCGCTCAACTGTGTGGAATAAGCCAGAAGGTGTCTGAGGATCATCAGCTCAGATTTCTTGAATCAGCCATACGAAGATGGTTCTTGATCTGCCCAACTGTGTGGAATAAGCCAGAAGGTGTCTGAGGATCATCAGCTCAGATTTCTTGAATCAGCCATACGAAGATGGTTCTTGATCTGCCCAACTGTTTGGAATAAGCCAGAAGGTGTCTGAGGGTCATCAGCTCAGATCTCTGGAATCAGCCATACGAATACCTATGGCTCATCATCCGCTCAACTGTGTGGAATAAGCCAAAAGTTGACTGTGGATAATCAGCTCAACTATCTTGATTCAAGAAGACTTTGCTCAACTGGACATAGCTCAAATGTTTTGAATCAGATTGATGACAAAGAATAGATTGTCAAAAAAAAAGATACTTGCGAAGTTACACTAGAAAGAATAGAATTTGTGTGTCTTAAACTAGCATTGTTGCAAAGGTTACAGGCCGGGAGAGCCACATTGCCGAAACAGATAGCCTAAATTGATGTGGCTCTCCCGACAATAGTTACGGTTGCGTGAACACGGAATGTGGCTCTCCCGGCTATGCTGTCAAAACATGCTTAGTGATTCAAACGTGTTACCGTATTAACAAAACAAGACATGTTTCCTCATAATTTTATTCAGATCACAACGGTTTTGTTTCTATAATTAGCACAATATGATATACTAATAGGTATATTACATATAATAATAATATCACATAATTGAACGTGTTCATCTTAATTTCCTTAAATTAGCTACCAGTCTTAGATATAACACCCCGAACATTATGGTTTATAGAGAACTTTGAAGACAACCTATCCAGCTCCAAATCTCCAAAACGATTAATTACTTATTGGTGCAAATTGAAATTTTTCCATCCAAACAACAAAATAGCAGCTTTCATTATACATTATATTATGGATGATGCTCCCTGGCTAAATCATGAGAAACATATATTTTGTAAATGCGGCTTACCGGATGTATTTGTAAACCCCTTTCATTATACCCAATCCTGATCATATCAAAATCGGAAGGACCATATTATAAGATTTTTAAAAACTCACTCTCACTCGACAAATACTTACTACTATCTGAAAATATTTGGAAACCCATTCTATATTTTAAAACATCTAACCATAAATTGCCAGTAGAAAGTGGGAGATGGACGAATCTCGCAAGAAATGAAAGAGGATGTGACCTTTGTAACCGCAGTTAGCTGGGGATGAATTCCATTATATCTTTAGATGTTCATATTTTAGCCAACAACGCATCTCTCACCTAGAAGATAGCTCTTGTTCCTTCCCTAATCTCTCTACATATAAAAAATGGATGTCAAGTACTAAAATTTCAACAATCAAACACCTATCTAAATTTATCAGATGAACATATGTTCTAGCTTTCAGTAATCACTGCGTATATTCTCTGTCACGTATTTGCATACTTTGTATATTCTGCATTATGTACTCATGTACCACCGGATGTGGTTCCATTTTGAGTAATAAACTCCGAGTGAAGAAGCTAAACACCGCGCTTGTGAGTAGGAAAGATTATTCGTTTCTTGTGTAAACAATATTATACATGGGGACACTCTTTTACCGGTTACGGTAATCCATTAATTAATTAATCTAATGGAAATGTGGCTTTACCGGCTACAGCCATGTAATTGAAATGTGGCCTTCCCGGCAATAGTCATTTTTGAAATGTGGCTTTCCCGGTCTGTCACCGTTGCAAAATGGATGATTTTAAAAAATAAATACTTGACTTACAGTTTTAATATAAAATATCTTGTTCAGCAGCTGTAGCTGAAAAATATATATAATGTCTCCATAAAGGTGACACACTCCCTTCCACCCCCTGGCCAACAGTCAGCTGTCTGTGCACGACGCGATTTTGACTTGAGTTTGTCACGACGTGCGACTATCAGTACTCCATCAGTACAAGGAGTCTATAGATGTCTGATAAAACATGGCTGATTTGGCAGGAGGAGCATCGCTATGTTGTACAGCCCATCATCATTATCATTAGTCCATCTCATTCTCTGGTATCTTACAGGTTTGGAGTGAAGTGCTTTTGAGTCCACGTTTTACACAGTCTAGTAAGGACACAGCTCACGTGGAGTGATTCAGTAGAATACATTGTTTAAGATATGTTTCGATGCATGACCACACACAACATTATGCCTGTATCATATGTCCTGTGTTATTGATGTGCCTTGGAGACCGCCAGACGCGAAACAATAAATATAGTGTTCCGCCCATGTAGCTGTCAATGAACAACGAAATGAAACCTATAAAGTTACACTGAGCATTTGAAAACACAAAGGGAGATAACTATAACGATTTTGTTCACAGGGGAGGTAATTCCAATGAATTGCCACACTGATGTCTAAGCATTGGGAAGAATTCACAGTACCTTGATTCAACAGTTTTACTCGTTCACGTTACTATCCCATTACACAACACAGGCAGGCGCAGTCGTTACCCCAGCATACACCGCCTAAATGATTGTAGAATCTATAGGAAATTTCAGTTCATTGTAACCAGTGTTTCTCGTCGTTTGCGAACTATACCTCAAGGGAATGGGCTACTTCATTCATTGATATCAGCTGCTGTTCGATCTGTTCTGTACATGGCAGATTCAGCATCATAGACCCGAATGCATGAGGACTTTTCATTGCGTTAATCCAGTATAACATCAGTACCTGCCGGTTAATCGTTAACTCTTACCCTTCGCGCGTTTCTTCCTGATCTCCATCTCTTGTGCAGTATATAAAACACATTATCAACGTAGTAACACTTTAAACACTTGGCATCAGTCGTGTTGAAATGAGAAAACTTCTTTCAGCGGATAAAACGAAGTAATTGTATATATGCAGGCATTTACTGAAACCATTTTGTTCATTTGGCTCCGAACCTTGCACCTATAGAGCATCTCCATCTTATATGCCGTTATATTTAATGAGAAATGCACGCCAGACCATGACGAAGAGACTACAGCGGGCAAGGTAAGTATTAATTATTCACAACAGGTAACAAAGCCTATGCATGTATATCTTTGACTGTGCATGGTTCCTGTAACTAAACTTCTTTTGTTCGTGTGGCGGTTTAGTTTATGTAATGATTTCTCCGCGTGGCATGTCTGCGTCTCTATACACGAGAACACTGCCAGACCGCCTTATGAAGAAAACACAGTCGACTGACGGAAGGCAGGCTTATAGTATCTCCATGTCGTAATGGTTTATCCATTCACCACTGGAAGTAAAACATCATGCTTGTAAAACAACACTGCCTGTTTGTGCGATTTTATTGACGCAATTTATGGGAAAATGAACTTTTTCTTCATTCGCAGACATAGCCAATTACCGGTAAATGTTTATTGAGACCTATACCACTTGGGGAGGTATTTTAAGCCTCACCGACATTCCGCGACGGTCGTTTTGCCAAGTAACATTTGGCGGCCAAATGTTCCCGAGAGCGAATTGTTGTTCCGCTGATAAAATTTAGTCGGTGGGTTTATTTATATCAGACGCAAGGTCAAATATATAATTAGTTTTGTGTGTAGCCACCGACAATGGATAGACGGTGACATGTTTGGCCCATTGCATGTCAGCATGCTGTAAGGTGGAGGTACGGGGTACTGAGTACATCTGCAAGCTATAGTGCAGCGCGGGGTTCCGCGGTGTAACATGCCATTAAGTGGGCAATGGTATTGACATGTATATAGTCACTTGGGTCATATGTCACAACAGATTATAGGGCACACCAAATTAATAATTGTTCTTCGGACTATGTTCATCATCAGTTGAAGATTATTTTCTATTATTATTATTTTCGATTATCATTTTTTGTTATTAATTTAGTCAGGGCCCTGGGCCTAGATTTTCGAAGCTCTCTTAGCGCTAAGATAGTCGTAAGTGCCATACATTAACCTACGACTATCTTAGCGCTAAGAGAGAGAGAGCTTAGAAAATCTAGGCCCCGGTTTCAGAAATCTATCGTAGCGCTACGACTGTCATAAGTATATATGT